GGACCCGTTCGTCCATTTTAGTTTGCATGTATTCAAAACAAAAACAAGGCTTTGATGGGCTACTGTATAAAGCCTGGAACTAAACGACATTTTGAACTGAAAAAGCTTCCTGGATGGGAAGAGAAACATGTTTAAACTTGGAAAGAAACTTCAATGGATTGTTTTTAATACATTTTTATTTTGGAATGACTGGGAACCTGGATGACTGGGAACCTTCACCAGCATTTAAAGGTATGTACATTTATTTTTAGGTGGTAGAATCATTGTCTTTCTTTAAGTGATCTCTCACACCCCATCAGTACCGTGTTTGTTTCAATGCATAGCTGGACATCCCACTGTTTATCCTGCCATTAAACTGATCAAACAGGTGTACATGGCCAGTGGTGGACTTAGCCATTTTGGGGCCCGAGGCATCTTCAGTGTAGGGGCCCTCCTCCAAGTCTGCCTTAATGTCCAGTTGGCTCTGAGCATGACAGATACTGTAGAGCTGCTACAGTTTTCTTACTGCAATACTGTAAACTATATAATAAGGCAACCTTTAACTGTGTTCCCTCCATGACTTTTTTTCCTGCGGGGTTTAATATTCAATTCAATTCAATTCAGTTTATTTATATAGCGCCAAATTCACAACACATGTCATCTCAAGGCACTTTACAGTTCAACCAGATCATACAGTCAAATTGATACAAAGTTTTCTATCTAAGGAAAACCAGTTGATTGCATTGACTCATTGACTCAAATACAATCCCCCACACTAAGCATGCTTGTAGCGACAGTGGAGAGGAAAAACTCCCTTTTAACAGGAAGAAACCTCCAGCAGAACCAGGCTCAGTGTGAGCGGCCATCTGCCGAGGCCGACTGGGGTTCAAGGAGACAGAAGCAGAGATACAAAAAGCAGCTGTAAAAGGCGGCCACGTCCAGGAAACACACAGCCAGGCAGACGAGCTCCAAGGCAGCTCCCATGCCAGAGGACGAAGAGAGCACATCCACTCAGTCACGGTCAGAGAAACAGGACCACACTGGAAAACAGGCCGATCTCCAACATCTATTCGTCTGGACAAAGTAGTTAAACTGATTTAAATGACTGATGGTCTAAAAGCCTCCAAAAACCTGCAGACTGTATGAATAACGTGAGCTGGGAAGCCGTGCCTTCAGTTCTGAGCCTGCCGTGGAAAGTTGGCGGTTCTGAACAGCCGCCAATATCTGCTCAACATTGAGAAATCGCTGTACTGCATGTGCCACGCTGGTGGGCTGTATGACAGACCCTCCCCTGAACATGGCTCCTTTAGGGATCTGAAAATAGCTTCCAAATAGTAACCAGCCTCTTGGGGATCCACACTTCTCTCTGATATGTTGACTTTATTCCTCATGAAGACACACAAGGAATCGATGTGTTTGGTTTTGTGACTTTAACTATTGGAAGTAATAACATCATCATCGGAGGAAAATATCTACAGGGAGGGGAGACCTGATCCAGGTGTTTGTAAGGTTAGAACCTGATAAGCAGATTAGAAATCACTGTGATTATTCTGGCAGGTAACAGACACTGAATTGATGCCGTTTTCCACTGGCTGGAAAAATCGGTTTAAACTTGAGGACAGCTCACCGACGCGTGTCTACTCGGGTCAAACGACTCGGCAAGTGACCCGCATTAAAATCGCCTCAGCTCTGATGGGAATACTGTGGGAACACCAGAGCTGGTGTTCTGTCAGATAAGCATACCATGTCAGATGAGCATACCCAAAGTCAATCCTGTTAGTTTTGTATGAATAAATACACTTTAAACTTATTCAACGGGCGTGTATCCCTTTAGTCAAGTACAAAAAAACAATTTAAGGTGAGATCGCCATACGCTTCAAAAAACACAGAAAAGTAAGTAATTAAATTGTTTTTTTTTGTACATGACTAAAGGGATACAAGCCGTTTTTGGTAGTTTAAAATGTATTTATTAGTTAAAAAAAACTAACAGAATATACTAAAGAGATAAACTGGTATGGGTATGCTCATCTGACAGAACACCGGGTTGATCCGCTAATTTACGTGATACCATTGAGCAGTGTTGTGGTCAAGACCACCTAACCCGAGACCAAGACCAAGACCAGAGTGTATCGAGACCGAGTCAAGACCAAGACTTTTAGGATCTGAGACCAAGTCAAGACCAAGACCAAGGGAAGTCGAGACCGAGTCAAGACCAAGACCAGCGCCAGTATGTGACAATAAAATGTGAAACATGATCAAAATCACTAAAATTGATCTAAAAGACCCACATTCACATAAAAACACCTAGATATTTAACACACAGAACTGGACTAAACTTTAACATCTTTATTTAGTAGTCCTGTGTAGTAATCACAGAATTTCATGCTTTGAAATTCTGTATGCTTTTTTCCTCAATGTTGCTTTACAAATATATTCTTTGTGATTTAAATAGCCGAATTTTATAACCGATGATTTGACCGACATCTTATCCCGTTCTCAGACAACCACTTGTGACTTTCAATCGAAGTGCTGCAGCCCACGCGCAGTTGAAAGGGGTGGGCGTGACAGCGGTAAAAAAAACAAACAAACAAAAAAAACATGCATTTACTAATGAGACAGGTTATTGCTTGGATTTGAATCCAAGCATCCAATAAAAAGAAGGATCTTAAAGAAACTGCTAATATTCTGATGATTAGCGTTATTTCCATAGTTGTGGTCTTGACCGGTCTTGCAATGAAATGCCGTGTCCTCTGCGCCCGAGACCGAGACAAGACCGAGACCAAATGCGGTCAAGTCTGAGACGAGACCGAGACCATCAAAAAATGGTCTCGAGACCAAGACCGATCTCGAGTACTACAACACTGCCACTGAGCGCAACTTACGGACGTCAACACACGGCGCCAGTCGCTTCTGATTTAACAAGCAGAAACTACTGTTTACATTGGATAAACATGGAGAGTTTTGGTCAGAGGGATTCAGACAGATAATAGAGCGAAACAATAAAGCACCCTGACTATGCCCTGGCTTCCTTCCATGTTGCTCTCCATTGTTTACTTTCTCACATATAAAGCCTTAAATGGCCAAGCTCCATCTGATATCAGAGATCTGATTGTTCCTTATGTTCCTAACAGAGCACTTCGCTCTCAATCTGCAGGTTTACTAGTGGTTCCTAGAATTTCTAAAAGTAGAATGGGAGGCAGATCTTTTAGTTATCAGGCTCCTCTCCTGTGGAACCAACTACCAGTTTTAGTCCGTGAGGCAGACACCCTGTCTACTTTTAAGGCTAGACTTAAAACTTTCCTTTTTGATAAAGCTTCTAGTTAGAGTGGCTCAGGTTATCCTGAGCTATCTCTATAGTTCTGCTGCTATAGGCTTAGACTGCTGGAGGACATAGGGACCTCCAGCGATGATGATGTCACCAGTGTGATGGAAATGAGGGAAGTAAATAATGGAGAGCGACATGGACGTGAGCCAGAGTTTAGTCTGTATTCTTTATCACTTTGCTCTTATCTGTGTGAATCCCTCTCACCAGAGCTACTTTATGTTTATTGAATTTGTTAGATCAGAGGTTTGTTGACATCCGTAGGTAACGTTCAATAGTGTCGCGTCATTTAGCGGGTGTTTCCACAGCATGTTCCTTATCAGAGCAGAGAAGATTTTAACACAGGTCGCTTGCGGGGTCGTTTGACCCAGTGTTCTGTCAGATGAGCATACCCAGTCAGACCAGCATACCCAAAGTCAATACCTGTTTATCCCTTTAGTTTTGTACAAAAAATACACTTTAAACTACCTCAACGACTTGTATCCCTTTAGTAATGTACAAAAAACCAAAAAACAAACAAACAATGGAATTACTTACTTTTTGGTGTTTTTTTTAACCGTATGGCGATCTGACCTTACATTGTTTTTTTTGTAAATGACTAAAGGGATACACGCCCGTCGAGGTAGTTTAAAGTCTATTTTCCGTACAAAACTAAAGGGATAAACGCGTACCTGACGTCTTACGCATGGGTATTAACTATGGGTATGTGGGTCTGATGGGGTATGCTGATCTGACAGAACAGCGGGTAGACATGCATCAGTGAGCTGTTCCCACTGCCACTAAAAGCCCATTGATCCCAGGTTTAAACAGGGTTTTCCGCCAGTGCCAGGGGTATTTGAAAAACACACATTAACCTGCTATTTTCAGTGGGAAAGATGCTTTAATTATATCAGAAATACTGGACCTTAACCTGAATACTGATAACTTCTGATTTGGACTTGTTTTTTTTAAGACTTGATGCTCTTATTTAACATAAACACCTACTTAGCAAGATGTAGTAACTAAACCTTATATTGATCCTTATTGTTTCCTAATTTCAGGCATAGTTTACTGTCACAATGATTTGAAATTAAACAGGACTTGGAATTATTTAGAACCAAGTTAGTCTTGACTTGTAACTCTAGTTGAGACTAAACTATAAAGACTTGAGACTAACTTGTGACTTTGTGAAGTAATGAGATCATTGTGATCTAAGGCGCGACGTTTAGAAAGATAAGCAGTCAAACATTAGGGGCAATACTTATGTTTATTTAGAGCGTTTTAAGAGAAAAGTAAGGGGGATATATAATTCCAAGTCATTTTTTTCTCTGTCATTCATTCATTAATAAAAAATTTACGTTGTTAAATAAATATTTAATCTGGAAGTAAATATTTAACAAACAAAATATTTGATTTGCAAACTAAATATTCAGCTCCAAACTAAATATTTATTTAACAAAGTAATTTTTTTTTATAAATGAATTAATGACAGAGAGAGAGAAAAAAAAGATTCCCCCCATATTTTCCTCTTAAAACACTCTAAAAACCATAAATATTGCTCCTGATTGCTAACTCCCCATAGATCTTCCTAATGTAGAACAGCAGAGCCAGCATCTGGATCTAATGTCAGGCATTTATTGATTGTAACAGGAGATTATCTGAAGTGGGGAATGTGGCTCTAAATGCGGATCCAGACTGGTTTGGTTCTGGAAAAGAGAGACAGACCGGAGCAGATGGTGGGGGGGTGCAGGCAGAGCAAGCCCCTCCCCCTCCCAGAGAGCAGCTCTAGCGGTCAGGGAGCAGCAGCAGCAGCAGCAGCCGCAGCCTCGGTGCCTCGAGTCCGCAGCGTCAGCCGCTCCTCCACCGGTAAGTCCTCCGATTCTCTGCCGTTAGCGGCACCACGCGCAGCTTTTAATGTTTCCGCGCGCGCTCAGGAACAGTCCGAGCATCTGGTCACGTGGTGTGGCTGGGACCTCCACCCCCCCCCCACCCCCCCCCCCCCCCCCCCACACACACACACACACACACAAACAAACATCTGTTTGAGCGGAGCTCATCCTGCCGGCCGGTAGTACCGGGTCGGGTTGAAGCCCTCAGGATCCGGTAAGATCCGGTTAAAACCAGCTGCAGTTTCTCCTCCGAGCATCTCTGGATGGAAGAATGGCCCAATGAGCGGGTTGGATGCGCGGCGCTCCCGCAGACAGGAGGAGAGAAACTCCGCACGTTTGACGAGTCAAACATCTTCACTTTAACTAAAATACCTTTAATATGTCCATTTTGAACGCGCCTTCGATCATCAGTTCTAATCTGGATTTTTCTAATCTAATCCTGAATCTCCTCAGATTGGAAACGCAAAGACAGCTCATCGGCTTCCATAGAGCACAGGAGGCACTGCGGCTCCCCAGCAATGTTAGACAGTTTTAGTTTATATAACAACCTCTTTCTGCCTCCATCAGGCCTGCAGCACAGATCAGCCATCCATGGAGATCAGCTGGGCTGAAGATGCAAACCTGCAGGATAGAGGCTGGCTTTCACATGCTTGCTGTCAGGGGTGGATTTAGGAAATTTGGGGCCCTAGGAAAAGACAGGCAGGGGGCCCTCTGAATCGAGAAGACAACACATAGAACAGAACCTTTATTTTCTGACTAGCTGGATGTGCTCTCTTCATCCTCTGACATGGAGGCTGGCTCAGAGTGTTTCCTGGTGTTTTCCTGCCTGTGGAGCTTCTGTTTGTATCTCTGCTTCTGTCTCCTTGAACCCCAGTCGGCCTCAGCAGATGGCCGCTCACACTGAGCCTGGTTCTGCTGGAGGTTTCTTCCTGTTAAAAGGGAGTTTTTCCTCTCCACTGTCGCTACCAGCATGCTTAGTGTGAGGGATTGCTGAAGAGTCAATGAGTTGATGCAATCAGCAGAAAATTTGGAATCAATTCGACTGGATGATCCGGTGAACTGTAAAGTGAGATGACAATTGGCTCTATAGAAATAAACTAAATTTAATTTAATTTATGGAGAGGCTGGTTTTATTCTCCAGCATGACATGGTATTTGTCCACTAAACATACAAATGTCTGCTTTAGTCACCATGGAAACGCCAGCAGATGGGTGTGAGCTAGACCCTCAGAAAAAAGTAGATGAGAGAAACCAGAACCGACAATGGAGAGAAGCTAAAAGGCCACGATTAAATCCTTCCAGCAGAACCACTGGGGATGGATACAGAAGTTCATGCAAAAGGTGCCACAACTGAGTGAAGAACGTTGAGATAGTTTCCCGGGTTTACAATACTGGTCGGATGCCTGGTTAAAAATTCCCGAGAAATGTTTTGGTTTTAGTTGTGAGATAAAATCCTCCAAATCAGCAGAATTAAACGACTGAAATCCGTAAATCCTTCTGTTTGTATAGCTGGGGCGTTTGCTCCTGTGGACCTGGAAAACATTTTTAAATAAACAGGTTTTTCATTTAATCTAACAGATACTTTTAGTAAATGTTGCCATTTTAATTCAATTCAGTTTATTTCTATAGCTCCAATTGACATCATGTCATCTCGAGGCACTTTACAGTTCACCAGATCATCCAGTCAGATTGATTCAAAGTTTTCTATCTAAGGAAAACCAGCTGATTGCATCGACTCATTGACTCCAGGAATCCCTCACACTAAGCATGCTTGTAGTGACAGTGGAGAGGAAAAACTCCCTTTGAACAGGAAGAAACCTCCAGCAGAACCAGGCTCAGTGTGAGCGGCCATCTGCTGAGGCCCACTGGGGTTCAAGGAGACAGAAGCAGAGATAGAAAAAGAAGCATAGATACAAAAGGCAACTGTCAACCAGCTCCACAGGCGGCCCCGTCCAGGAAACACACAGCCAGGCAGACGAGCTCAGAGCCAGCTCCCATGTCAGAGGATGAAGAGAGCACATCCAGTTAGTCACAGTCAGAGAAACAGGACTACACTGGAAAACAGGCCAAGCTCCAACATCTACAAACAAAGGTGTTGATGGCAGCAGCACAGCTGATATTTCTCTCCAGGATGGAGTCACAGCCAAACAGGAACAGACCAGATGAAGCTACTATGAGAAAAAGCAGAGAGAGCAGAACGTTAGAGATTGAAGTAACAGATTCTGCAGAGTGGGAGAATAGAGATAGAATGATGAAAAAGGGGTCCCTATGTCCTCCAGCAGTCTAAGCCTATAGCAGCAGAACTATAGAGATAGCTCAGGATAACCTGAGCCACTCTAACTAGAAGCTTTATCAAAAAGGAAAGTTTTAAGCCTAGCCTTAAAAGTAGACAGGGTGTCTGCCTCACGGACTAAAACTGGTAGTTGGAGCCAACTGGTAATTATAAACATATTCACGCCTCTAATGATTATTCGGACGACTAAAACTACGCCACATTTCTGGATAGAAACTCCGGTCAGCGAGGAATAATCAGTGGATCATTATTTATACCTAAAACTAATACGTCTGCGGTGATTTAAGGAATTTAGCGTTAATCAGTAAAAAAATAAAAACAATTTTTGTCACTATCCAAAAGTCTGAGTATGGCCATTTTTAACGCTTCACTCCTGCCATCTTCCGGTAGTGACGACACGCTGCGGTAATAATTTCATATTTAAAGCACTTTCAGAGGTTTGAATTCTAAATATGAGCGGACTTTTCCTTTAAAGCTTGGAATAATGTAGTGAGAGCAGCCGTTTGCAAACTGCTCAGTCCAGGCGGCTCTATTCTGATTAATGCATCATTCAATCTAAGCCTTAAGGCCTCAGTAGGTTTTAAAATGTGTTCTTAGTTTTAAGACTGACCTTTGCCCTTTACACTGATAAGTGCAGGAGTACTGGGGAAAGTTTTGTTTTCCAAGCGAACTGCTGGGATTATCCAGCTGGATTTTTTCTTTTGTTGGGGGGATTAATCTGTACTTTTCTTGCATCCAAGGCTTTTATTTTGGTTCCGGAGTTTTCCAGATGCCTCCGTGTTCTTTACCTTCCCAGAGGTCTCCGTCTAGTAGCTTTGACTGAACGCCTACTCAGATCCTGCAGCGGTATACCAGCTGTAGCGTTCAATAACAACATGCTGCAGCCGGGATTACGTAACACTTTTCTTGTCAATGCAGTTTTCAGATCATCAAGGGCAGGTCGTTCTAGACCGGCGCAGACCAGTTTAGATCAAGCTTCATCGCAAAGAAACAAACAGCTTTATAGACATTGCGAAACCCCTATCAGCTAGAGATAAACGAATGGACATCCGTTCATCGAAAATAACATTATGGCTACTGGCAAAAGTTCATCTAGTTACTCGAGTTCAGCTGTGAAATCCCTCCGTTTTGGATTGTTATTGAGGGAATCTGAGCCGGTTCAATTCAGATCCTGTTTTATTTATTTATTAGCTGCTTAAAACCAGGAAACATCTCCTCTTCTTGTTTGATGGTTTGGTCTATTTGATTGTGTAGATCAAAAGAAACATTTAAAGTAATCAGATTCGATGTTTTCTATGAAACAAGTAACTTGGAGCTGAAAGAAAGTAGATTTGATCGACAGTTGTTGTGTTTTTCTCCGAACCCATCCAGTTCCTCTCCTAAAGCTTCTGGTTCATTGGAAACCCGGACCGCTGATCCAGATCCTTCATTTCCTGGTTATATAAACCGTGTTGAGGAGGCACCAGTTGAACCGATTCTTCGTTTTATACAACCAGGCTCACGCAAACCCCCCACTTTTTTTTTTGGCCTGGTTTGTTGCCATGGTGACAGGTTGGCACTTCCTGACTTGGTCATGAGAGTGGAATAGCAATGAATGGTTTGAAGCGGCCTTCAGTGGTGGTCGCTGACATTGCAGAGCGTCAGGGCGATGAGGATTGAAACGTTGGTCACATCTCAGTGAATCCTGATTGGAAATGATAAATCATCTTTAATGCATGAAAAAAATCACAACCCCTCAAGCTAAACGCTCAGAACCCCCATTGGTATCATCACCACTCTGCAGAGTCTCTTACATTGAAAAGATAAAGCTTCCAGTAGAACATTTTGAAATGATGGCGCTGCTGCTCCATTAAGCAGCCGTTCTGTGGTTCTGAATGGAAATCCTTTTCCAAAGCTCCTCTGACCTCATTAGGAACATTATGTAACACAGATCTCCAAGAGTAATGTCCCTGCAGGCCTGAGTCTCAAGAACTGAACATAAAGAAAAGGACCGAATAAAGGCTCTTTAGATCAGAACAAGCAAAGGGGTGAAGTTATTCGGACGATTCAGAAAGATGATGATGAAGGTTTGGCGCATCTTCATTCAGGTGCAAACTTTTACCTGCTCAGAGCAGATCTTAAAGGAAAAGTCTGCAACGAATTAACAATCAATGGATCATTATTTATACCTAAAACTAATGCTGTGATTTAATTAATTTAGTGTTAATCAGTAAAAAAAACAACTAATAATTTTCGTTGTGATCACTGAGTCTAGGGGCGGCCATTTTTGCGCAAATATAGTAACCCCTCCCTCCTGCCATCTTCCAGCAGTGACGTCACGGTGCGGTAAGCCTAGCGCCATTCTCCCCGCTTTCCAAGCTAAATAAATGGGAACTACTAGACACATCTGCAATCAACAACAATTATTGAAGATTTCCAGAGGACTTCACCATTGCAATACACCAGAGCTATAGTGAAACTGACAATGCCCACGTGCATGGCAGCTGGATGCTGGAATACATCGGGTAAACGTGAAAAAAAAAAGAGTTATAAAAGGGGGTTAAAAGGGGTTCAAGGAGACAGAAGCAGACATAGAAAAAGAAGCATAGATACAAAAGCCGCTGTAAAAGGCGGCCCCGTCCAGGAAACACACAGCCAGGCAGACGAGCTCCGAGCCAGCTCACATGTCAGAGGATGAAGAGAGCACATCCAGTTAGTCACAGTCAGAGAAACAGGACTACACTGGAAAACAGGCCAAGCTCCAACATCTAGAAACAAAGGTGTTGATGGCAGCAGCACAGCTGATATTTCTCTCCAGGATGGAGTCACAGCCAAACAGGAACAGACCAGATGAAGCTACTATGAGAAAAAGCAGAGAGAGCAGAACGTTAGAGATTGAACTAACAGATTCTGCAGAGTGGGAGAATAGAGATAGAATGAAGCAGAATGATGAAAAAGGGGTCCCTATGTCCTCCAGCAGTCTAAGCCTATAGCAGCATGACTATTCAACTACCAGGTGTGTCAGAAGTTCCCGAATCCTTAACAGTTCTTCTAAGGAAAAACATGTTCCTTTTTTCCGAGGTTTCAGAGGGAAACTTTCTGGTTCTCTCTTGTTCTGCGGCAGAACCCGTGAAATAATTAGGTTCCTGAAATGGCAGGCAGCACCATCACGCCACCTCCATCAGGTCCGACTGTCAGGAAATCCCAGATTCTTCTCTTCCAATCGCTCCACTTTGGTCTCCTCAGACCAGACAGAATTCACCAGTCCTTTTAGGGACCGCCAGGATTGCATTGCACTAAAAAAAGTCAGTTATTTTAAAAGCATAAGTTTATATTTACTCAGTAAAATCAGTTTGATCTGAAATATTTAGATAAAACGATCATTTAATTTTGCTCCACAGAGGCTGAGCAGGTTCATAACAGGCTATCAGAAGTTTGTTAGAACGCCTCCATAACTCTCTGACCTCCTTTGTGTTTCTTGAACAGTCAGCATCCAGCGTCTGTGTCAAAAGATAAACGTTGCAAAGACGAGGAAAAAAATAAAGATAAGATTTACTGTCAGATATAAATCTGTTCTTTCCTGGACAATAAAACCTTCCTGCCACTTTAACGACCGCTGACATGCTAGGCAACATGCTAACGGGCGGTTACCCTACGCCATGTGCTAAGCCTGCTGGTGGATCTCTGAGTTGTGCTTCCTATCTGACTTGACTTTTTACCCAATCAAAATAGTAAATTGAATGCCTCACCTCCTTACCATCCTTATATCTGTTCTAGTTTCCCTCATATGATTATGGCGCATTTGAGGAATTGTTTGCATGACCCTCCACGGTACCCAGGTCAGCTCCGTGCTTCGCTATCAGACTTCAAACTTCAACATGTTCATCTTCAGAGTCCCGCCTCCTGTTGCTGCTTAGGAATCACAACAAAACAAGGATGGAAGGGAAAACGTCGCCTTAAGCCCCCAAAATCAGAACTGCTGGTTAATTCAGACAACAAGATGCTTTTATTACAAAACCGTCTGCGGATGGAATCAACACAGCATCAAAGAATAAGAGTTATTTAGATTTAGCTCCAGGGAACAGTTTTGCAGCCTGATTGATGCTCTGGAGATGAAAAGATGTAAAAATGGCTCCAGAAACGAGCCTTGCTCTGTTTACTCCTTGTTCACATTCTGCCCCCCCCCATCACTTTGTTTTGCACCCCGTTCTGTTGCACACCCCACCCAGACCCATGGATGCAGTCTTGTGTAACTCTCCAACCCAAACCAGTTTGATCCAGTTCATGAGTTGTTGCCAAGAGACTGGGTGTGCATATATGTGTGTCGGTGGGTGGGGGGGGGTTCTTTTTGCTCCGTGTGGGCGAACATGAGTGTCTGAAGGTTTGGGGTTTTCTGTGGAAAGCAGACAACCGGAATATTCCTGTTCCTGCAGCCTGCGTTGCATAAGAGCTGAGGAAGGAGCAGACATCCAAGTCAACCTCATATATTGAGCGTCACATGTCTGTCCTCAGGCATTTCAATGCAAAAACAATCTTAAAATGAGTTGAAAATTCTTATAATAAATGTATTCACCCTTAATTTGAGCAGGTAAATAAGATTATTTGCCAATAACAAGAGTATGTTTAGCCTTAAAATAAGATAATTAGATGTTATACACTAGAAATAAGGGACTACAGTTGAATTTTCTGTAATGTGAAGTGTTTTATTCTATTTGCAAAGTCGCTTACCTGCTCAATTAAAGAAAAAATGCACTTATTTTCAGAAAAAAAAGACTTGATTGGATTTCAGTTTTGTGCAGTGTAGAGCCCCACACAGCTTAGCTTATCTGGCTTCTACTAGAACATCTTTGATTTTCCCACAGAGTGACGTTTGGTTATTTTCCCCCTGAAATGTCTTTAAGCAGCAGAAAGTAACTGGAAGTTGATGAATGACTCATATAGTAAAAATCTGACACATTAACTCCTGATTAGCCGGGATGGGCGTGATATCGGGGGTGGGGGGGGACTGGCTGCTGGTGATTTATCACAGCCAGCAGAAGCAAACCGGAGAGCTCATCACTTCTCCTTCCTCTCCATCAGCTCGGCCCTCTCGCTCCCTCTCCTCTCTGACTCAGCTCTCCATCGCCATCCCCGTGTCTGCAGGTGGCTGTTTGAGGTCAGTCCCTGAGAGCAGAGTCCGCCTCTCTCCATCGCCGCTCATCCTCGGTCATGGCGAGCGCCTTGATCAGCCGTCAGCTTGCTCTCTGCCTGCAGAAGAACTTATGGCTCGGCTCTACAGGTAAATCAACATTTTTTATTGTATTATGTGCATTTTGTTTCAGTTTTTTTATTTGATTTGACAATCTGTAGTACGGAATCATCAACATATAATAAACAATAAATGTAGATATATGTCGTGTTAATTTGTATATTTAAGTGTAAGTTTTCTAAGTTATTTTGTGTGTTCAATTTTAATTCTGTTTTTGTTGTTATATTCAGTACTGGAGTTGGGGGATGATAGGGGATGGCATCCTCCTTCTTATATGAACATCTAGCCATACCTTCCCCTGTGACATTTTATCACTGAATGTGTGAATGTCTACTATATATTAACAGTAATGGTGATAATATTGCCCTTTCAACATTTGGCAGGTTACGCTTACGAGTAGCGCACAGCCTGCAGCCGAGCAGCAAAGACAACACGATTTAGGGAATGTGAAAATAAGGAGGGGAGGGAATCTTCAGTAGGTTCCAGGTTCTAATTTTCCCAGATCTCCCTCCCCTGCTTAGTTTGAGAAATAATGTTGCAAGTTATTATAGTAATTATGCAAGTTTCTCCACATAATCATACCTGCTCTCTGTGGTTGTGGTATGAATTACATAAGTCTGGGACAATAAATGTGAAAATAAGGAGGGGAGGGAATCTCCAGCAGGTTCCAGGTTCTAAGTTTAACAAAGAAAGTGTCAGAAATTTTCTAGAATGGTGCTGATAGCAAAATGGGGAATCTACATCCACTGATCAGAGAATTTATTCATCACACACTGACTGAAGCACATCGACTGGAACGTGTCTCTATACAAGTAAAATCTTATCAATTCCAATTTATCTTTCCCCCAAAACGATCTATTTTAAGGCATCCATTTATAAGAAATATGAAAACATTAAGAATATGGTTAAAATTGCCCTTTTCGTTCAAATTTCAATCTGTTTTCTCATCAATGGGTGTGAGTTTAGGGCGATGCATGCTCCCGCGACAGGGCAGGTCATCCTGGGCACAACAGAGGAAATCTGGAGGAGAAAAAAAACTCTGTAGGGGCAGCGATAGCCATGCTAACTACGTAGGGGCAGCGATAGCCATGCTAACTACGTAGGGGCAGCGATAGCCATGCTAACTTCGTAGGGGCAGCGATAGCCATGCTAACTACGTAGGGGCAGCGATAGCCATGCTATCTATATGGTGGCAGCGATAGCCATGCTAACTGTGTAGGGGCAGCGATAGCCATGCTAACTGTGTAGGGGCAGCGATAGCCATGCTAACTATGTAGGGGCAGCGATAGCCATGGTAACTATGTAGGGGCAGGGATAGCCATGCTAACTCTGTAGGGGCAGCGCTAGCCATGCTAAGTATGTAGGGGCAGCGATAGCCATGCTAACTATGTAGGGGCAGGGATAGCCATGCTAACTATGTAGGGGCAGCGCTAGCCATGCTAACTATGTAGGGGCAGCGATAGCCATGCTAACTATGTAGGGGCAGCGATAGCCATGCTAACTATGTAGGGGCAGCGCTAGCCATGCTAACTCTGTAGGGGCAGCGATAGCCATGCTAACTATGTAGGGGCGGCGATAGCCATGGTAACTATGTAGGGGCAGGGATAGCCATGCTAACTCTGTAGGGGCAGCGCTAGCCATGCTAAGTATGTAGGGGCAGCGATAGCCATGCTAACTATGTAGGGGCAGCGATAGCCATGCTAACTATGTAGGGGCAGCGATAGCCATGCTAACTATGTAGGGGCAGCGATAGCCATGCTAAACCTGTATGGGCAGCGATAGCCATGCTAACTATGTAGGGGCAATGATAGCCATGCTAACTCTGTAGGGGCAGTGATAGCCATGCTAACTATGTAGGGGCAGTGCTAGCCATGCTAACTCTGTAGGGGAAGTGATAGCCATGCTAAGTATGTAGGTTCAGTGAATGCCATGCTAACTCTGTAGGGGCAGCGATTGCCATGCTAACTATGTAGGGGCAGCGATAGCCATGCTAACTACGTAGGGGCAGCGATAGCCATGCTAACTACGTAGGGGCAGCGATAGCCATGCTAACTTCGTAGGGGCAGCGATAGCCATGCTAACTACGTAGGGGCAGCGATAGCCATGCTATCTATATGGTGGCAGCGATAGCCATGCTAACTGTGTAGGGGCAGCGATAGCCATGCTAACTGTGTAGGGGCAGCGATAGCCATGCTAACTATGTAGGGGCAGCGATAGCCATGGTAACTATGTAGGGGCAGGGATAGCCATGCTAACTCTGTAGGGGCAGCGCTAGCCATGCTAAGTATGTAGGGGCAGCGATAGCCATGCTAACTATGTAGGGGCAGGGATAGCCATGCTAACTATGTAGGGGCAGCGCTAGCCATGCTAACTATGTAGGGGCAGCGATAGCCATGCTAACTATGTAGGGGCAGCGATAGCCATGCTAACTATGTAGGGGCAGCGCTAGCCATGCTAACTCTGTAGGGGCAGCGATAGCCATGCTAACTATGTAGGGGCGGCGATAGCCATGGTAACTATGTAGGGGCAGGGATAGCCATGCTAACTCTGTAGGGGCAGCGCTAGCCATGCTAAGTATGTAGGGGCAGCGATAGCCATGCTAACTATGTAGGGGCAGCGATAGCCATGCTAACTATGTAGGGGCAGCGATAGCCATGCTAACTATGTAGGGGCAGCGATAGCCATGCTAAACCTGTATGGGCAGCGATAGCCATGCTAACTATGTAGGGGCAATGATAGCCATGCTAACTCTGTAGGGGCAGTGATAGCCATGCTAACTATGTAGGGGCAGTGCTAGCCATGCTAACTCTGTAGGGGAAGTGATAGCCATGCTAAGTATGTAGGTTCAGTGAATGCCATGCTAACTCTGTAGGGGCAGCGATTGCCATGCTAACTATGTAGGGGCAGCGATAGCCATGCTAAGTATGTAGGGGCAGTGATAGCCATGCTAACTATGTAGGGGCAGTGATAGCCATGCTAAGTATGTGGGTTCAGTGAATGCCATGCTAACTCTGTAGGGGCAGTGATAGCCATGCTAACTCTGTAGGGGCAGTGATAGCCATGCTAACTATGTAGGGGCAGTGATAGCCATGCTAAGTATGTGGGTTCAGTGAATGCCATGCTAACTCTGTAGGGGCAGTGATAGCCATGCAAACTATGTAGGGGCAGTGATAGCCATGCTAAGTATGTGGGTTCAGTGAATGCCATGCTAACTCTGTAGGGGCAGTGATAGCCATGCTTACTATGTAGGGGCAGTGATAGCCATGCTAAGTATGTGGGTTCAGTGAATGCCATGCTAACTCTGTAGGGGCAGTGATAGCCATGCAAACTATGTAGGGGCAGTGATAGCCATGCTAACTATGTAGGGGCAGTGATAGCCATGCTAACTATTTAGGGGCAGTGCTAGCCATGCTAACTATGTAGGAGCAGTGATAGCCATGCTAACTATGTAGGAGCAGTGATAGCCATGCAAACTATGTAGGGGCAGTGATAGCCATGCAAACTATGTAGGGGCAGTGATAGCCATGCTAACTCTGTAGGGGCAGTGATAGCCATGCAAACTATGTAGGGGCAGTGATAGCCATGCTAACTATGTAGGGGCAGTGATAGCCATGCTAACTATTTAGGGGCAGTGCTAGCCATGCTAACTATGTAGGAGCAGTGATAGCCATGCTAACTATGTAGGAGCAGTGATAGCCATGCAAACTATGTAGGGGCAGGGATAGCCATGCAAACTATGTAGGGGCAGTGATAGCCATGCTAACTATGTAGGGGCAGTGATAGCCATGCTAACTATTTAGGGGCAGTGCTAGCCATGCTAACTATGTAGGAGCAGTGATAGCCATGCTAACTATGTAGGAGCAGTGATAGCCATGCAAACTCTGTAGGGGCAGTGATAGCCATGCAAACTATGTAGGGGCAGTGATAGCCATGCTAAATAAGTGGGGGCAGTGATAGCCATGCTAACTCTGTAGGGGCAGTGATAGCCATGCTTACTATGTAGGGGCAGTGCTAGCCATGCTAACTATTTAGGAGCAGTGCTAGCCATGCTAACTATGTAGGAGCAGTGATAGCCATGCTAACTATGTAGGAGCAGTGATAGCCATGCTAACTATTTAGGGGCAGTGCTAGCCATGCAAAACTGTAGGGGCAGCGCTAGCCATGCTAACTCTGTAGGGGCAGTGCTAGCCATGCTAACTATGTAGGGGCAGTGATGGCCATGCTAACTATGTAGGGGCAGAGATGGCCATGCTAACTATGTATTTATATTAATATATTTATATTAATTTATATTAATTTTCTGCTTTACAGCAGAAAGCTTACAGATACACACAGGATTAAATGATAAAAAATAGAACAGCATTCATAGGTTCTATTCCCTAGTAAAGAGGGGGAAAAAAAACCTCAGAGGGTAAAATATAAAGTGCAGTTTTTATAATTACTGCATTATCAGGTAATTGTGGCACAATTTAGCTTTCTGGCGAAGATTCCCAGTCATCCAGGTCATAGTCCTTCCAAAAAAGTTAAACAATCCACTGGACTTTGGTTCCAGTTTTAATGATTTTTCGCTTCCCATACAGGAAGCTCTTTGAATTTAAAATGTCAGGAATAGAGTTGAGTTCGATGCTTTATAGGGTAGCCCAGCAAACGGATGGTTCCAAAGGGGTTGGCCAAGTTAGTCCGTTTCACTCTGCATGTTGTCTAAGCCAAAACAAGGCTTTGTTAGTGGTTCACTCTCTAAAGCATCAAACTCAACTCCATTTCTGACATTTTAAATTGAAAAAGCTTCCTGGATGGGAACCGAAACGTCTTCAAACTTGGAAACAAAGTCCAGTGGATTGTTTTTTACCTTTTTTTAGAACAAAATTAATCTCAGAAAGAGTAAAAAAAAAAAGACAACTCTTAATTGTACAACATTCCCTGAGTTAATCTGATAACTGATCATTTTCACACAATTGGCATATATACATTAGATGTGCATAAGATGGCTGCAGATTATGACCTTTAACAGCCTTTAAACCTTTAAAGTGGTTTGGATGCCATTCAAACAGGAGCATCAGTGTCTGTTTAAACCATATGATTAGTTTGCTGAGTTAATGTGGGTTAGCCTAAGGCTCTGTTTTGGTCTGTTTTCTTGTTGCATGCTATACAAACACCCCCCTCATATGCAGATTGGTAATACTTTTGCTCACATCACTTTTATGCCCTTCTATGCAGATGACATTCAGATCTTTAAAAATATCATTGTTTTTTGCATTATTTGTGCCATAAAGTAATCACCAACTAGCTAAAAAGTTACTACCTTCAGTTGAACTCTGAGAAAACAGCATTTTGGTTCCTCTGCGCAGGCAACATATTGAACTCTGGAACTCCACCGTTAAGCCAAACTTCAGGAATCTGGTGTTGTATTCAGTCACCGGCCATCTTGAAACAAACATGTGATGGTTATTCATGCTGGCACGGAAGAGGATTAGGGCCACTGAAAAAAACAAAAAAGTTAACTGATTTTTTTATTTTATTTCAGTTTAACATGGAAAAAATTCAGAATTCTGACTTTTTTCTCAGAATTCTGATTTTAATCTCAGAATTTTGGATCTTAATGTAGATGGGCACCATGAAGGAAGAGATGTGGAGCACTTAGCTTCACTCACAGAGATGTGAGTTGTTTGAGGTGGCCAGTAACACATTGGTGGAAAAATTACGGAATTAGGCAACTTTTTACGTGCCCAAGGGGTCGCCTCATTAATGGAGGAGCAGAAGGTCATTAAAAACAGACATGGCTATGGCTTGATGCTAACATGTTTGTTAGCTGTCAGAATTCTGAGAAAAAAGTCAAAATTTTGAGAAAAAGGTCAGAATTCTGAGAAAATAGTCAGAATTCTGAGAAAAAAGTCAGAATTCTGAGAAAAAAGTCTCTAAAACAGACATGGCTATGGCTTGATTCTAACATGTTTGTTATCTGTCAGAATTCTGAGATTAAAGTCAGAATTCTGAGATTAAAGTCAGAATTCTGATTTTTTCCCATACTAAACTGAAATAAATTTTTAAAATCAGTAAACTTTTTTTTTTTCCCAGTGGCCCTAATCCTCTTCCGTATGCTGCTGCAAGGACAATAAAACCAAAGTAATGTAATAAAGGGAATTCCCTTCAGCTGCTCTAAACTTTGGACATCGACTGATAAGCGGAACAAAAGAAGAGATTACATTATTCCATTTATAAATTCTGACTTTAGAGCCCGATCGGGTCAAGCTTATTCTGAATTATTAAAGCCACAAACTACAGCTTGAGCCACCGATCAAACATTATTTTTAGTGTAGAACATCACATTTTTTTCCCCTTAAAATGTTTTATTCTTATATTGGGTTTAGACTGTCTGTATCATTTATCCCCTCGTTTATTAAGGTAGATCTCATTTTGTGGTTTTTAAAATGTCCTTATGCTCTTTTCTGATATTTTATCTATAAAATGAAATCATATATTCTTACCTGAGCTTGGAGCAATATTTCATGTATGTTTTAAAGTTGATGAGTTTCCATAATAGAATAAATTTGTGTTAGTGGTCTTAATATCTTCCCAGTGACTCTGCTTGTGCTTTCTGTTCCATCTTAGTGGTTTAGTGGGAAGAATGTTTCTGTAGCATCTAAAACTTTGGGTTCAAAACCATCTTCCTTCGGTAAAGGTTTATGTGCCCCTCAGCAAGGCAATGGATCTGTGCAGTGATGTTTGAATGTGGCTGTTTGATAGATCGCTCTGACCAGAAAAGCTCTGGATAAACTCTTTTACTATTTACAGGTTGCGCACTCAGATGGGTAGAGATGTATTGATTTCCCCCGTTTTAGATAAATCGCTGCACTTCAGGTTTGGAAATTCAGTTTGTTGTCTGAGACACAAAAAGAGGCATTGCATATCTGTGTCAAAGTTTGACACAGATTGTGGCAGAGCGTCTCCTCCTTCTCTTCCTGCTCCTCCTCATTGGCCAGCTGTGCTAACGTCCATCATGATGAACCAGAATAATACCCAGCAGAATAATAAGCAATGTGGTAGAGGCCTGAGCCGGTTTAAACCGCTTCTGTTTGTGAGAGACTGCCAATTTAGCTGACAGATTAACAGATTATGAGAGGCAAAGTTTATCCTGCTTCACTACCATTTGGCTTTGGACATGATTTCCGTTTACGGAGCTATAACTCATTCACCATCAGAGGCTGAAGTCTGGCCCCTCTCTGATATCAGCATAAATTAACTAGATGTTTTGTTGAATTCAATTTAAGGCTGCAACTAACGATTATTTTAAAAATCGATGAATCGGCCGATTATTTTTTCGATTAATCGATGAATCGGACAAAAAATATTTTTTTATATTAACCTCTGTATTCCAAAATAAACATTTTAGACAGAACAAACAAGCACACAAGTACAGGTTGCTCATTAACTGTACTGGTGCAATATGAAAAATAAATGTTTGTGTTAAAACTACGCAAACTTACATGAGAAATGTAGCTGTACATCCACAAAATATAGGCTACTTTGTTTCATAAAGCGCAAAAAAAAGACATTTTTGTTTTTAAAGCCCCTAAGGGGTTCAAACTACAGGCCCCCCCATTTCAACAAATGAGTTTTTTTAGACTAGAAGAGTTCTGCCTTTTAAGACAGGAAAGTATAACAGTTAAAGTTGCTACTTGAGAAAATACTGAACCATAGAGATAAAAATAGCCTGTGATTCAAATTATAAATTGTATTTGGAATAAAAATGAGAGAACTAGGGGTGCTAAAAAACACATCCTCCAAAGACAGATATTTACATGGGAATGTGGCAGATAATTAATTGACATATTACTGATGTTGCTGGATTTTATTCTGCTTTACTTCCATAAATTGCAGGATCTTTACTTTATCTTTGCCAGAAGATTTAAACTTTAAAAGCCTTGCCCTCATAATTTGCAAGTTAATTTATTTATAAAGAAAATATAAACGCTGATTAAGCTAATTCAAATGAAATTAAAAGTAAAATAAGTAGCCAACCTTATCACTCTCTGTAACCTACTAACACGGTAAGGACAGCATCAGATGAGCTACCTGAGAAACTAACGTTACGTTTCCCCACTTTGAAACCAAACAAACATGGCCGCTCACCCTGCTGATCAGCTCTCTTCACTGCCATCGAAGGCTCCAACGTGTTTTCTTTTCAGGTGCTGCATCATAACAGTGGTGCTTCTGTGCCATGTTAATTTGTTTTTACAAAAGTTGCATGTTATGACTTTTTTCGCTTTACAAAGCGCAGGCTGTCTGCGAATTGAGACGCAGCTTGCTTTTGCGGTATCGGTCATTAGAACAGTTGACGTTACTGCCTTTTGAAAACAGCCTTTGCTCACCTGCGGCGCTGGCTCGCTCTGCCGTATTTTTTTTTCTTCCCGCGTTTCAATCAAGTGGCAGTGATGAAGACGGCAGTGGATGATGCATTAATCGTGCGACACAACTAATCGATGATGAAATTCGTTGCCAACGCTTTTAAAAGTCGATTTTATCGATTCGTTGTTGCAGCCCTAATTCAATTCATTTTATTTCTATAGTGCCAAATCACAACACGTGGTTGGTTTAAAGATCGCTATCTAAGGAAAACCAGCTGATTTCAGCAATACCTCATCAGCAGAACCACAACCAGGCTCAGTGTGAGCAGCCGTCTGCTGAGGCCAACTTGGGTTCAAGGAGACAGAAGCAGACATAGAAAAAGAAGCATAGATAAAAAAAGAAGCTGTAAAAGGCGGCCCCGTCCAGGAAACTCACAGCCAGGCAGAGGAGCTCCTAGCCAGCTCCCATGAAGAGAGCACATCCAGTTATTCACAAACAGAGAAACAGGACTACATTGAAAAACAGGCCGATCTCCAACATCTAGAAACAAAGGTGTTGATGGCAGCAGCACAGCTGATATTTCTCTCCAGGATGGAGTCACAGCCAAACAGGAACAGACCAGATGAAGCTACTATGAGAAAAAGCAGAGAGAGCAGAACGTTAGAGATTGAACTAACAGATTCTGCAGAGTGGGAGAATAGAGATAGAATGAAGCAGAATGATGAAATAGGGGTCCCTATGTCGTCCAGCAGTCTAAGCCTATAGCAGCATAACTATAGAGATAGCTCAGGATAACCTGAGCCACTCTAACTAGAAGCTTTATCAAAAAGGAAAGTTTTAAGCCTAGCCTTAAAAGCAGACAGTAGATGTGAATCAGGAGCCTTTCTGAGGATGTGCTGTAGGTTAGATGCACCATGCAGGGGAGGACAGGAGATGAACAAACTGAACCTATGATTGTCCTGGTTAAACTTTTACAGAATGCTAAAACCAATATTTAACAGAGGCTAATTAAAATCAGCTGAAGGTTCATTCTTCAGTATCAGTGTTATTTACTGCGCTGTGCGTCGTTCAGACAGCAGAACCTTTACTGAAGAGTTTTAGATTCTTCTTCAGTCTCAGAATTAAAATCTGGTTTAATGGAAACCGTTTCTGTAAATCCTTTACGATCCGTGTAACCTCTCCACCAGGAAACCCCCATGGAGCATCCTGCCTCTGCCTCACAGAGCTAAGCCTAGTTTGTTAGGTAAATCAGCAGGGAAAGTTGGATCCTGTCGGCTCAGCGGTGTCGCATTACTGCAGAGAAACAGCCTTCAGATCCATGCCTGCGAGATGCTAGCCATGTTTTTAATTAATCGATGTTTTCATTAGGCTGCAGGTACGTCAGTAAGGCAGCGGCAAAGACGCAGGTGGAGTTTGACTATGATGGACCCTTAATGAAAACTACAGTCCCAGGGCCTCGATCACAAGTAAGGCCACCTGAAAGCTCTCAGGTTTCTCCATTAAATCAGAGACAATATTTCCTTAAACCAACTTCTCTTTTCTCCTTACTTTCTAGGAGCTCACAAAACAACTGGGAGACATTCAGGTAAGTGGGAAGATTAGAATACGGCTCTAGAAATCGTTTGATTTGATCACCGTGTTCTGGATCTTGTTTTCGTTTCCTTCCCTTCATCTCCTGGATCTGTTTCATACAGGCCGGTCGGCCCGGCATCGCTCAGATTAAATCTCCAATTATGGGAAGTCATTAAAAACACCCTGCAGCTCAGCCGTTGTTCCATGTTTCCCTTTTACATCCTTCCTGGAGGTCTCTCTTAATGCAACAGACTGCAAAAACATTCTAGAAATAATAAAAAAAAATTCTTAAATTACCGTTATTTTCGGACTATAAGCCGCAACCTTTTCCCCATTTTTCGACCTTGCAGCTTACATAACAATGCGGCTTATCTATGGAATTTTACAGCTAACGGCCACTAGGGTAATACCTAAATATATCGATTTTACCATCCACTATGTTGACGTCACATTTGCTTCAACACACAAGTACGGTAGCCGCGCGCGCCGGAATGCGGAGGTCCTCCAGAAGCAGACTTCTACCGCGAGTGGTACGAGACAGAACGACAGAGAGAAAGACAGACATTGCGAGCGCTGGACAGTTTGTGTTAAACATAAGAAAATTATATAGTCCAATGCGGCTTGTATTTGTACAAATCATGCAATTTAGCTTCTGCGGCTTATATTCAGGTTAGAGATGTCCCGATCCAGGTTTTTGCACTTCCGATCCGATACCGATATTGTTTTTGGACTTCCGATCCGATACCAATACTGGCCGATACCAGCCTATTCAAGCATGCATTTAAGTTTAAGTTAAAGTATTTAGCCTTAGTTGTAAGACTCATGTTGAAAAGGGTTTTAGTACTCTTGATAACATCTAGCCAGCTGAATTAGGGGAGATTGAATAAAACACAAAGATTGGTAACAACAAACTTACCTGTTTATTAAGAGATAAACACAAACTGGGCAAAATTATGAATAGCAATCTGAAATTGCACAGTGAACAGTAAAACCATAAACAGTTAAAGGTGCAAGTATTACTGTAAGTTTTAATAAAAATGCAAAACAGACAAGAGTGGAAAATAGTCTATTAACTTAGAATCAGGACTCTACTCTTGAAAAAAGACACTGCTTAAAAAAAAAATCAGTGCAAATTATAGTGAACTATTACACAAAAATGCCTTATACTCCCCAATATCCTCCACACCTAGTCTCCATCTACACATCGTGCAGGAGTTTTTTAAAAACTGGATCGGCATTTTTACATTCTTTGCCGATACGCATTCTTTTGCCAATATCGGCGTCCCGATCCGATCCACGTATCGGATCGGGACAAGCCTAATTCAGGTGCGGCTAATAGTCCGAAAATTACGGTAAGTGTATTATTATGTATTATGTACCCTGTTTAATCCCGCTCCTATTTTATCAAATGCTAAACATAAATCCTGGGATTGAACACTTTATTTTAAATATTTTACTCAATATCATTTGTTAAAACAAACAAAAAATCTACCAAGATATATTTTCAGGCCATCATTAAGACCTCCAGATCTGTAAAACATGGCAGAGGCAGTGTCATGACATGGGCCCGCACGGCTGTGAGGAACGTCCGTGTTAATCAAGAAAAGACGCTGCCAGACATGTTCAGTTAGAGCGAACCTCACTGAAAAACCATTGAGAAATAAGTAAAAAGTATCTTAAATTAAGTGCATTTACCCTTAATTTGATCAGGTAAATAAGATGATTTGCCAATGGAATTATATTCTTTACTCTTAAAATAAGATATTTGGATAATATGCACTCGAAATAAAACAATGCAATTGTTTTTCTTATTTTAAATGTAAATTGTCTTCTTCTGTTGACAAAGTGTCTTATTTACCTCCTCAATTTAAGAAAAAATGCATTTATTTTAAGTGAAAAAGACTTATTTCGATTTCCATTTTTGCAGTGCACACATCACAGTATCAAATAGCACAATTTTAGAACAAATACATCCATCTACTGTTTAATTATGTTAAGTTTCAGCTCTGAGCTTCTTCATTTAAGCCCTAGCCGTGTAGAAACGGTGCTGGAAGCCTCTGCTCTGTGCATAGACTCAGACGACTGTTAATGGAAAAGGTTTCATATAAAGATGGAGCCTTAAGGGGAGCCACCTCTGATCTGTCGAAGACTGTAAGTACAGATAGAGCCACTTAGAGAGTCGCCTCTTCTTAATTACTTTACCTTTCAGGATGGTTTCAGCCTGCAGCTTAATTAGATCTTCCAGGTTACCCCATGAAATAACACCTGAATGTAATCTGTGTATAATCCTGGTTCATTGACGCCATCGCTGTCTACGCTCTTCTCAGGTCAGGATCATGGAAAAGATCCCAGGCAGTAACTGCAGCGAGTCGATCGAAGGTCGTTTCCCCAATTTGCTTTAATGAAATCCTAGTTTTAGTTTTGGGTTCTGCAAAAAAATGAAATCTGTTCATGTGGACGTACCAGATTGTTGGGGTTGGCCATCAGCTTGAGCAGAGCAGGATGGTTGTACAGTAGCCTGAGGGAGGAGAGAATTGGATGAATTTTAAAAACAAAACACGCACAGTCCTTTCATCTCTCAGCAACAAACATGATCCCTCTACCTCAAATCAACTCTTAGAAGTATTTATAAACCAGCTTCTGTTGGGAAAGATGCTCCGTTAGAGACGTGAATGTGATAGAGAGAAGCTGCTGAAAGATTGCAGGATATCTGAAAGAAGCAGGGTCTGATCTCTGCAGACGGACAGGATCTGCCTGCAGCTGATTACAAACGCCTCATCTTTGTGAAACTGCAGAAATCCTCAGAGCAAAGGGATCTCATCTCACTGCAGCTCAGTTTAGCTGTGGCTCTAAATAAAGGTTTGAAACAAAGACCACGACTTCCTGATCATTTCTGTCAGTCTGGAGCGGCAGAAACCATCATCAGTCTGCACTACAGAAAAATAACCTGCAGTTGTTATAGCAACCATCTACATGTAAATCACTCAACACTCAGGTAGTGAACCCTACACTGCAAAAAAGGAAATCTAAATAACTATTTTTTTCTCAAAATAAGTGTATTTGTTCTTGAATTGAGAAGGAAAGTGAAACACTTTGCCAATAACAGAAGACAATTTACATAAAAAAAACGATTGCAATGTTTTATTTCAAGCGCATAATATCTAATAATTTATAATAAATCTCATTCCATTGGCAAATCATTTTATTTACCTGCTCAAATTAAGGGTTAATGCACTTAATTTAAGACATTTTTTATTATTTCTCGATTGTTTTTGCAGTGAGGTTTACTCTAACCGTTTGGCTGAATTTAAGCCATAATTGTTTCCTCAATTAGAACGGACGTTCCTCTGAGCCGTGCGGGCCCGTGTCATGACGCCACCTCTGCCTTGTTTTACAGATCTCGAGGTCTTAATGCGCTTGAAAATATACCTTGGTAGATTTTGTCTTTGTCTCAACACATGACATTCAGTGGAATATTTAAAATATGGTGTCTAATCCTGGGATTAAAGTTTAGCTGTCACGATTGGTTGGAGGACCCAAATGCAGAGACGAGATGAATTTAAGTAGTGATGTTATGAGATGAGCCGAGGCTTCGAGGCATGTGTCGAGTAATGGAGGGGGCGTTTCCCCGAAGCGCTTGTCGAGGCGTGATTCATTTAGAGGAGGGGCCAAAATTGATGACGTCCGAGGCCTCGTTACCGTGATACCACGTGACCGCTTCGGGAAGTGGTTCAGAATGCGCAAGAATTTTGAAAGGCATCTAAACAGCCTCAGTGTTCAGTTAAGATGTGGGAGTTTGGAGGAGAGATGCTCTCAGCTGGATAAAGTTTGGATAGATTCTAATAATAGATTGGTTGGAAAAACAACCAATCTAGTTGCTAATTTGGTTGGAATAAACAATGTAATACTCAAAATTTGAGCAAACCACCGGACAAAGCCCGCGTTAACACGTCAGTGTTAAGAAGTATTTTCTCCTGCGTGAGATCAGCTACATAGGTGGCGTCAGCTGTAAGAGTCAGGCTCCCACTCTAGAGGTTGATGGTTCAAGTCCTGTCTTTGACTTTTGAAAATTTCGATTACACTTAATTATTTTGGCTGATGAGACTAATTTGCATTTTTTTGCCCGAGTAAAAATATAGATTGGGTAAATTAGGTCGGTTTAGCCAAAAGATTGGTTGAACACAACTTCCAACCTGATTAAAACCAAAAAACGTGGAAAAACTATCATGTTTGAATAAAAATGACTAACACCTTTCATTTTGCTCATCATTACCCAATTTGCACAAACACTGTCACTAGGGGTGGGTATTGCCAAAGAAGTCACGATTCGATTTGAATCACGATTCACAGGCCACGATGCGATTCTATCACGATGCATCACGATACTTGCATTATTGGGATGCATTGTAATATTTTCTCCTCCATGTTTTGTTTTTGAATGACTCGGCGCAGTATCCCTTGGCCGGAAATGCTTGTGACACAAGGCAGCGTGCGTCAACACATCCGCAGCGACATCTACTGGACTGGAAGTTGTATTACACTTGTTTTTGGCTGATGTTCACCAGCCATTAATGCAATTTTATTTATTCATTTTTTCAAATTAATAATCGATACTTGGCGTCAAGAATCGATGCAGTAGATCACAAAAATTAGAATCACGATGCATCATCATGACGATTATTTTGCACACCCCTAACTGTCACTGTCTGCTTGAGTTTATTTCACTAAAATGGCAGAAAAACGGTGCACCTTAAATTATTGTTCTAAGAAATTTTACACTTAAAAAAACTTACAAAAGATTTTATTATACACACCAACCATTAATAATTTCAAGGGAATTTAAAAGGGGAAAAAAAGAAAAACAGTTGCAAAAAAAAAAAAAAAAAAATCACTGATTATATTACAAACTGTAGTTCTGCACTCCACCAGTAGGTGGTGACATGTTCACATGAAGCCTCATGAACTGTGGGGATCGTTGAAGCAATTTGGCCAAACGGTTCAATGCCTCATGAGGCTTCATCTCACCATCACTATGGAGGACCCAAATGCAGAGACGAGATGAATTTAAGAGATTTAATAGGTTTTCAGGTTCTGAGGCTGGAGGTAAAAAATCCAACAAAAATATCTTAAGAACCAGAATCTAGGAGACATCAGGGAAAAACCAAAAACTAAGAACCAGGAAGAGACAAGGAAGGACGACAGAGAACTGACCAGAGGTTTGATGAGATGTAAGACAAGGATCCAGCAAACAAGAACTGAAGAGGGAGGGCTTTTAAAGGGGACAGAGACAAAGAGAGAGCTGACAAGGAAATTGGCAACAGGTGCTGGCAGGATAGAGAAAACAGCAAGGGAGGACAGAGCAGAAAACAGAGCAAGGGATAGAGGACACAAGAGGGCAGCAGAGGACAACAAATGGAAAACCTGGAGGACAGGAACTAACAAGAAAACAACAAAATAATAATTAGACACTAAAACAAGGAGCAAAGTAAGACTGAATACTCTAAATAAACAAAACAAAACCAAGACTGTGACATTAGCTTTTGATACAGAAGGAGCAGGATTAAACATATGAACCTTAGAGATGCCTTCTTGTATGATTTAACAGAAAAAGTGAATTAGTCCAACTTATAAAAAAAAGCTTATGCTGCAGGTTTGATGTAAAATCAAAACAGAAGATTGCAGATTTTATTCTAATAAACCTAATCCCTGCTACCAATAATCTGACCACAGAATTGCTTCACTACTTCGGAGGGCTGCCACGGTACTGCACGGGGGTTGTGAAAGTTTTGGTTGATTAGACTTTTCTTTTTTTTTTTATATTCCCCCCTGCAATTTTTTCCACTAATTGAAATGTCTTTAAATCCACTTGAACATGAATTCAACAGAGTGTAATAAGCAGATAAATGGAGGCAGAGGATGTCTTTCAGTCATCAATGCACACATTCAGCGACACACAGGAGCTCTTTCAAGCTGGGCACCGTTTCATTCACAACACCTGTCCCATCAACCAGGAATCAGAATCAGAAATACTTTAATAATCCCAGGGAGAAATTACTTTAGTTAAATCACATCTGTAATAGAGTGACTACGGAACCAGTTTGATAGAACACTATTTAATACCATATATATAAAATTAGGGCGTCCCCGCTCCATCTCGCCATCAGTTTGTGGGTCCTTGGCCTGGAAAACGTTTATTTCATGTCCCATGTGGGATAGATTTTTATGTTTTCTAAATATGGATATTGTACCCAGTCTTCTGTGGTACGCTTTGGATCAGGAACTGGTTTCCGTACTTTCTTTCCTGCCGTTACCCAGTTAGACGTTGATCTTGATTGGGGGTTTGAAAGAACGGATATTATTTCATTACAGAAGTTCTAATTAAATCAAAACTGAATCGAATCCTGATGCATTAAACACATTGTTGAAGTGTTTGTTCAGGGTTATTGATTTCTTGGGTCATATGATTGTTAATAGATCCTGTTTCCTTCCAGAATGTCGGTGCTGTCAACTTCTTCTGTAACTATGAGGAGAGCAGAGGAAACTACTTGGTGGACGTGGACGGAAACCGCATGTTGGACATCTACACGCAGATCTCCTCCATTCCCATCGGTGAGTCATTTATTTTTAAAATAAGTGCATTTATTCTTGAATAAAGGAGGTAAGTAAAGCATTTTTCTAATGGAACAAGAGGATTTAAATTTAACACAAAAAAACAATTGTATTGTCTTATTTGTCTTATTTATTTTGTGCAAAAAGTGCATTTTTTTCTAGAATTTAGGAGGTAAGTGAGACACTAACCAATGGAACCAGACAATTTATATTTAAAATTTGAAAAAATTAATATCAATGTCTTATTTTAAGTGCATCTTGTCTAATTATCTTATTTTAAGACTGGAAATACTCATTCCATTGGCAAATCATCTTATTTACTTAACTTAAGGATACATATGATTAATTTAAGTCATTTTTGCTGATTTCTAGATCGTTTTTGCTGTTTAATAAGTTCCGGTTTTGTTATATTTATAAATATGTTTCTGTCAAAAGTACCCACATTTGTGACTTCAGTAGAAGTATAGATACTGCAGTTTAAAAACACTCTGGTAAAAGTATCAACTTGACCTCTTTACTCAAGTAAAAGTGAAAGAGTATGTGCTCCAAAAACTACTTAAAGAATAAAAGTATAAAGTAACCTTTAAAAAAACAGCCAGATGTCACTATATGAATTAAAGCTCAATTTTCCGACTATTTCTATAAATTCTCTGAGATAGGGCCAAGGATGAGGGAGGTCTTGATGGTCTCCGTCTCCCGATACGCTCTCGCCTGTGTCCGACCTTTCAGACATTTCAACATCTTTTTCTGAATCCCACATTGTAGCATGGCATAGACATTTCACGTTAGCAGTTTGAAGAACACCTGCTTGCTTCTGATGATTTCCTTTAGCTAACCAATGAGTGTTTGCGTTCTATGACTCATCCAATCACACTAGTTTTCACTAGATGTGGGTGGAGCCAATGATCTGCATTGGATGGAGCACATGACGGGAAATAAAGATTTAGAAACATTAAACCAGGGGTAACCAATTAAAGATCAGCAGAGTCTGAATAAAGAAAATCATCAACCAGTAAAGGTCTGGAGACATTTTTAATGATCTGTTACTTTAAACAGAATTTAACACTGAAATAAAATGAGGTATTTATGCATTTACACTCACTGGCCACTTTATTAGGTACACCTGTCCAACTGCTCGTTAACAATTATTTTCTAAGCAGCCAATCACATGGCGGCAACTCAGTGCATTTAGGCATGTAGACATGGTCAAGACAATCTCCTGCAGTTCAAACCGAGCATCAGTATGGGGAAGAAAGGTGATCTGAGTGACTTTGAACGTGGCATGATTGTTGGTGCCAGAAGGGCCGGTCTGAGTATTTCAGAAACTGCTGATCTACTGGGATTTTCACGCACAACCATCTCTAGGGTTTACAGAGAATGGTCCGAAAAAGAAAAAACATCCAGTGAGCGGCGGTTCTGTGGGCGGAAATGCCTTGTTGATGCCAGAGGTCAGAGGAGAATGGCCAGACTGGTTCGAGCTGATAGAAGGGCAACAGTGACTCAAATAACCACCCGTTACAACCAAGGTGGGCAGAAGAGCATCTCTGAACGCACAGTACGTGGAACTTTGAGGCAGATGGGCTACAGCAGCAGAAGACCACACCGGGTGCCACTCCTTTCAGCTAAGAACAGGAAACTGAGGCTACAATTTGCACAAACTTATCGAAATTGGACAATATAAGATTGGAAAAACGTTGCCTGGTCTGATGAGTCTCGATTTCTGCTGCGACATTCGGATGGTAGGGACAGAATTTGGCGTCTACAACATGAAAGCATGGATCCATCCTGCCTTGTATCAACGGTTCAGGCTGGTGGTGGTGGTGTCATGGTGTGGGGAATATTTTCTTGGCACTCTTTGGGCCCCTTGGTACCAATTGAGCATCGTTGCAACGCCGTAGCCTACCTGAGTACTGATGCTGACCATGTCCATCCCTTTATGACCACAATGTACCCAACTTCTGATGGCTACTTTCAGCAGGATAATGCGCCATGTCATAAAGCTGGAATCATCTCAGACTGGTTTCTTGAACATGACAATGAGTTCACTGTACTCAAATGGCCTCCACAGTCACCAGATCTCAATCCAATAGAGCATCTTTGGGATGTGGTGGAACGGGAGATTCGCATCATGGATGTGCAGCCGACAAATCTGCGGCAACTGTGTGATGCCATCATGTCAATATGGACCAAACTCCCTGAGGAATGCTTCCAGCACCTTGTTGAATCTATGCCACCAAGAATTGAGGCAGTTCTGAAGGCAAAAGGGGGTCCAACCCGTTACTAGCATGGGGTACCTAATAAAGTGGCCGGTGAGTGTATATATATATATAAAACAAGCTCCAAGCCAGCTCCCATGTCAGGGAGAACATTCAAACTCTATGCAGAAACACCCCAGGCCAGAAGCTGAACCCGGAACCTTCTTGCTGCAAGGCATCAGTGCTTCCCACTGCGCCACTTAGCAGCCCTTAATTTGAATTCAAATGGAAAAAAAAGAAAGAAATATTATAGAAATAGTTTAATAAAGAAAGCAAAAACAAGCGTTGAAATTCCACGATGGTATCAGTTTACTAGAACAGTAGCTTATCTGCTGCCGAGATGAAGAGGTTAGATAAGCTCATCAGAGGGAAAGCTCTGTCCTAGGATACCCCCCCCAATCAACACCCCCACCACCACCACCCCACGCAAACATACCATCAACGCTGGAAAAAGATTATCATCACAGATCTTTGCTGCTTTAACTTTATAAAAATCACTACTCCCATCTAAAGGCTGATTTATATTCGAAACCAGGTCATCTGCGTGTATCGCAGCGAATGCAAAGACGCCTCTTCTTCTCCTTCTTCTTGTGAGGTTTTATGGCGGTTGAAAAACTAGTTAAAAGTGCTTTTCCTCCACCAACTAATAGGGAGTTAAGCAAGGAAACAGGAAACGACACTGTTGAGTTAAGGGTTGGTTGTTGTTTTTATGCACATATAAGAACATTCAGTTCATTTTTTAAATTACTTTCCTACTGCCCCTTTTTTGTTTTTGCTTCTATATTTATTCTCTTGTGAAGCTGCATGCTTTTCCCTGTCATTTTGTTGCTGGTACACCTGAATGTCCCCACTGAGGGTTAACTACGCTGCGCTGGCCCCTACTGGCCACAGGTGGAACAGCACTGACATTTATATAATCCATCTGCATCAATTTTATGTAAGAGTCAGATTCAAAGCCTTTTCACACACCTGTAGATAAACAGAGAAGCATATACCGAACAGAGGGTTAGACCCCATCCCATAAGGCTGTTGGATATCAGGCAACAATCAGACATCTGATGTTATATTGGCCTGATGATATGTTAAACACAGTGGCTCATAGCTCCCATACTTGTCCATGTTGATGAATAATGTCTCTGATCCAGCCTTTTCTATCATCCCACACTACAAAATAAGCAATGAAAATATGTATGATTGGTGCTGATATCGTAATGGTTAAAACTCTAAGCTCAAATATCGGTATCATATTGGAAATTAAAAGGTTGTGTCAGGAAACTTTTAATTTCTAGCCTCAATGTTTAATCCAATATTTTGCCTTTATTGGATTAAATAAAGATTAAACCAAAGTTGTTTCCACTATCATCACAACCCCAACCCCTTTACAGAGGAACAGAAGACTCGCCTATTCAGCCAGGCCAACAATTCCCTTTAATGACCCCCCTTTCAGAGACATAGACAGGTATGGGGCATTGCAGGCTAACAAAGAAGCCAAACGACCCCCATTCCAAAGAGGTGGACCCGTTCATCCGTTTCTATTTGCATGTTTTCTAAAACTAAAACCAGGCTTTGTTGAGCTGCTGGAAAAAAACCTGGAACTCATCGCTATTTCTGACATTTTGAATTAAAAAAAGCTTCCTGGATGGAAGAGAAACGTCTTTAAACTTTGAATCATCGTCTCGTTGTTGCCCCTCTAGTGCACCTGTTGTTAATTTCATAAAATGAAACTGATTAACAACCCCCTCTGCTACTTACCTGACCAAATCAATTTCCCAGAAGTTTAGTTAACTTGATGCTATACTCTGATTGCAAAGTCTTCCTTTAATTTTTTTTGAGTGATGTATATTTCTGTGCTCCATGTATTTCACTGATCACTTTAAATGATTGTAGAAACCATCCTGCAGGCGGGAGAACAGAAGCTGCCTCTCCTGGTTTCCTCTTGTAAAGAAATTATCTCAGAGTGGATCTGTCAACACTGAAAAAATAACTGATAAAATGAAATGGATTTAACTTATCATTTGTAAAGTAATCCTTAACATGTAAATGTTATTTGAGATAGTGAACATTTTCTACACTGCAAAAGCAATCTAGAAAGAAGTAAAAAATTCTTCATTCTTCTTTAGCCTTCATTTGAATTTGTAAATAAGATGGTTTGCCAATGGAATGAGATCTTTCAACCTTAAAATAAGATAATTACAGGGTAAGATAATTACGGGTCATTAAAAATCATTATTTTTTATTTTTAATATTAAGACCTTAATTGGCATTAAACTTCATTAAATGTGATTATTGGGCATTTAAAATGCTTTATTAAAAAAAAAAAGGTGATAAAAACAATTTAATCAGGAACATCACGATGTATTTGCGCGGAACTGCTTCCGGTTGATCGTAAAGCCGTACGTTCGGAAAAGAAGCTGGAGGCGGAGAAAAAGCTAAAGAATGGGAAAATGCAAATTTCAACAAAAGTGGCCGGAAGAAGAGGAATTCGGTGCATGGCTGCAGCCTGTCGATAGCATTAAAATTATTTCTAAGGGCATTACAACAGCATTAAAAAGCATTAAATTAGATAACATGCACTTACAATAAGTTTATCCAATAGTTTTTTTCTAGGGATGCACTATATAATCGGCTCCCTATCGGTATCGGCCTTAAAACTGAATATCGGACATCGGCCACCCCACCGATATTTAACCCGATATTTGATCAGCTTCTGAGTTTCTAAAGTCTAAAAAAAAAATAAAAAATAAAATACTACTTCTTTTTCTTCCTCAAAAACTTTTTTCCAGACTTAAAAACATCTAAAGACGAGGGAAAAAATATTGATACATTAAAATATCCCAATATCTTCATATGCTGATATATTGCCATTTAAAAACACCATATCAATCTCTTTTACTAATGAAATATTGCTATATGTCATCGTTATGCTACGAAATCCCCCGAGAATTCACGAAATGTTGCCATATTTTTATATGTTGATATATTGACGCGGTATCGATCTATTTTACTAACAAAATCTCACAAGAATTTGCAAAATATCATGAGAGTTTGTAACAGAACGATGAAATTTCACCAGATTTTGAAAGTAAAATAGATATATTTTCATATCAGCATATGAAAATATATCTGAGTATATTATTTTTCAAAGTGTCAGAAATGGATAACAAAACTGCTATTTTCAATGACTATTTATTTTTGTCCAGCTTTAACATCGGTAAGTTTTAAAATATCAGCATATCGGATATCGGCCAAAATCCGAATATCGTGCATCCCTAGTAATGTGAATTTTTAGCTTGAAGAGAAAATAAATTAAATTTAAACTGTAGAAATAATGACAATGAATTTTTTTAGGTCAAAAATGTGTTCTGAATATATTTTAACACTGAAACAGTAAGTACAAAAAAACAACATTTAAATTTCAGTGGCATTTTTAATTCAAATCCCAGCAACACAGATTTACTTCCATAAAAACAGCATTAAAAAGCATTAAATCTGAGTTAATCATTCCTGTATACACCCTGAATTAGATCACCTGCACTTACAATACGTTTATGCAATAGTTTTTTCTTATTTTAAATGTGAATCGTCTTGTTCCATTATCAACGTGTCTCACTTTCCTCCTCAATTCAAGAACAAAAGCACCTATTTTAAGAAAGAAAATAGTTATTTAGATTTCCTTTTTTTTGCAGTGTAGGGTTCACTACCTGAGTGTGGAGTTATTTACATGTCAATGGTTGCTATGACAACTGCAGTTTATTTTCTGTAGTGCAGACTGATGGCTCCTCCTGTAGATGCAGACACCACTTATACTCAGTGATGGAGCAGCTTTGGTTTCTGCTGCTCGTTTCTCTCCAGACTGACAGAAATGATCAGGAAGTCGTGGTCTTTGTTTCAAACCTTTATTTAGAGCCACAGCTAAACTGAGCAGCAGTGAGATGAGATCCCTTTGCTCTGAGGATTTCTGCAGTTTCACAAAGATGAGGCGTTTGTAATCAGCTGCAGGCAGATCCTGTCCGTCTGCAGAGATCAGACCCTGCTTCTTTCAGATATGCTGCAATCTTTCAGCAGCTTCTCTCTATCACATTCACGTCTCTAACGGAGCATCTTTCCCAACACAAGCTGGTTTATAAATACTTCTAAGAGTTGATCTGAGGGAGAGGGATCATGTTTGTTGCTGAGAGATGAAAGGACTGTGTGTGTTTTGTTTTTAAAATTCATCCAATTTTCTCCTCCCTCAGGCTACAACCATCCTGCTCTGCTCAAGCTGATGGCCAACCCCAACAATCTGGTACGTCCACATGAATAACTTGACATATTGCCCAGAAAGCAGGGCATCCTCTGGGGATTGAGAGGCTGAAACCAGAAGAAAGCTCAAAACCATCAGAGAAATCCATCGAAGTTCTAGAAAATTACCACAGTGAATAAATTATGTGTTCATTTTATTTGTGGAAACTCAGATTCTAACCAAGCAAAGGTGTTAATTATCTTTCCCCTCAGTTCAGCGAGTCCTTTGCTGCTGGATTTAAGAACCACAGTCTGTCATAGGGATTTAAATTCATTTAAAGCTTTATTTTAGCTTCATTGACTGATGCAGGTATTAATTCTGCTCAAAGGGGAACACCGGTTTTTACATTGGGCCCTTGATTTTATAGTTTAGCTTGTCCCTTCAAGTCATTGCCCATAGGAAGACGTTACTTGGATATAATATCTTCAGAACGGCTCAAAATGACACAAAACTCATATGGGTGAGTAGAACATGGTGTAATAACGTAAAATCAAGGGGCCAATGTAAAAAAAAAAAAAAAAAAAAAAAGGGTTCCACTTTAACTTCTCGGGTCTAAACACAAACTTGAGTGAATCATTTTATCTAGAGGTGAAATGTGGACTTTTCCTTCTCTCCCTCCTGGGTTTCAAAACCAGTAAATTTCATGGGTTATAAACTGAAACCAGACAGGCAGGGGGCCCCTCTGAACTGGAGAAGACAACACATAGAACAGACCCATTCTACAGAAAGAGAAATGTTAATAGAATAGACATTCATTATCTGCTCTAGGTTGTGTCCCTCTCTTCTTGTCCCTTTTCTTCTTGTTTTCCTCTCTATGTTTTGTACTCAGCTGACTTTTCATGCTGTCTCTAAAGGAATGAAAGATTTTTTCCCAGCACTAAGCTCACTTAGCTGATTGCTCCTTCTTGTGTTTCCAAAAAGGCCAAAGTAAATAACCCAGTCCTTCTTTTCACTGTAGACAAGCCATGATCTGCTTATCTGTTCTCCATTTTTCATTTGGATGAAATAATAGCTGCATGAATCATGACAGCAGACAAGATAGAGGAGAGCAGGAGGCGGGGTTACCAATCTACTCGCTCTGGAGAGCAGAGTTCGCTGCTTTTAGATGTTGTCTCCAAAGTCTCCAGTAGCAGAAAAAAGTCTCTAGATTTGGTGCTAGGAGCTTTTTAGAAATCAAAGTTCTGGAGGGGTCTGAAAAGTGGCTAAATATAGCGACTAAAGCGCTAAGTTAGCAACACTGCTCTTTGCATGGTTTGTTTTCAAATGGTTTGCTGCTGTCTGTTTGGACCTTTCTGAACATGTGCAGCAAATGGACTGATACAACATGGTGGACACTGAAGGGGGGGGGGGGATCTGAGACACACTTAAGAATAACAACAATAATAAGCGTTCTGATGGCATTATAGCGAAAGGATTTTTATTAAAAACATAATTAATATTTGCAAATAAGGAATAGTTGTATTAACCATACATGGAAACAGAGTTTTCTGAGGCCCCCAGGAACTTGGGGCCCTAAGCAACTGCCTAGTATTGCCTGATGGTAAACCCCCCCCCCCCCTGAAGAAACCCTCCCAGTCCTGCCGTACAGCTTGAAAGCCTCACTGGAAACCTCTGTCTCTGAAGGCGGCGATGATGATGATGATGATGATGATGATGATTGTGGAGAAGAGATCCTGATGTGATGAATTCAGGTTTAATGTTCAAGTTTTCTCTGATCTGGTTTCTGCTTCTATTTCAGAGCACCATCGTAAACCGACCTGCGCTTGGAATCCTGCCGCCGGAGAACTTTCCAGAGAAAGTAACTGAAAGTCTTCTCTCGGTTAGTAACACACACAGATCAGCAGCTGTAACAGAGTCCAGCAGGGGGCAGAAGAGATGAAGACAGCTCTGAACGCTCCTCTCTCTGACAGGTGGCTCCCACTGGAATGACTCGCGTTCAGACGATGGCCTGTGGCTCCTGCTCCAACGAGAACGCCTTCAAATCCATATTCATCTGGTACAGAGTGAGTCTTCCTGCAGGTCCAACATCATGGTTGATGGATGGAAAGTAGCTCGAACGCATGAACCTTCAGAACTTACTGATCACATAGAAGCTCTGCAACTAGAACCAAGCTTGAACCTTTAAGTCTTCAGGCTTCGCATCAGGTTTACTCACTAATAGGTTCACTAATATGTTCATTAAAAGGTTCACTAATAGGTTCATTAATATGTTCACTGATAGGTTCACTGATAGGTTCATTAAAAGGTTCACTAATAGGTTCACTAACAGGTTCATTAATAGGTTCACTAATAGGTTCACTAATAGGTTCATTAAAAGGTTCATTAATAGGTTCACTAATAGGTTCATTAATAGGTTCACTGATAGGTTCACTGATAGGTTCACTAATAGGTTCATTAAAAGGTTCACTAATAGGTTCACTAATAGGTTCATTAAAAGGTTCACTGATAGGTTCACTAATAGGTTCACTGATACGTTCACTGATAGGTTCATTAATAGGTTCACTAATAGGTTCATTAAAAGGTTCACTTATAGGTTCACTAAGAGGTTCATTAATAGGTTCACTAATAGGTTCACTGATAGGTTCACTAATAGGTTCACTGATAGCTTCACTAATAGGTTCATTAATAGGTTCACTGATAGGTTCACTGATAGGTTCATTAATAGGTTCACTGATAGGTTCACTTATAGTTTCATTAATAGGTATATCAATAGGTTTACTAATAGGTTCATTAATAGGTTCACTGATGGGTTCACTAATAGGTTCACTAATAGGTTCATTAATAGGTTTATTCATAGGTTAACTGATAGGTTCACTATAGGTTCACTGATAGGTTCACTAATAGGTTCACTAATAGGTTTATTAATAGGTTCATTAATAGGTTCACTGATGGGTTCATTAATAGGTTCACTAGAGGTTCACTAATAGGTTCACTGATAGGTTCATTAATAGGTTAACTGATAGGTTCATTAATAGGTTCACTTATAGGTTCATTAATAGGTTCACTTATAGGTTCCTTAATAGGTTTATTAATAGGTTAACTGATAGGTTCACTGATAGGTTCACTAATAGGTTCATTAATAGGTTCACTAATAGGTTCATTAATAGGTTCACTGATGGTGTCATTAATAGGTTAACTATAGGTTCAATAATAGGTTCACTAAAAGGTTCACTAATAGGTTCACTGATAGGTTCATTAATAGGTTAACTGATAGGTTCATTAATCGGTTCACTTATAGGTTCATTAATAGGTTCACTAATAGGTTCACTGATAGGTTCACTAATAGGTTCACTAATAGGTTCATTAATAGGTTCACTGATGGGTTCATTAATAGGTTCACTATAAGTTCACTAATAGGTTCACTGATAGGATCATTAATAGGTTAACTGATAGGTTCACTTATAGGTTCATTAATAGGTTTATTAATAGGTTCACTGATAGGTTCACTAATAGGTTCATTAATAGGTTCACTAATAGGTTCATTAATAGGTTCACTGATGGGTTCATTAATAGGTTCACTATAGGTTCAATAATAGGTTCACTAAAAGGTTCACTGATAGGTTCATTAATAGGTTAACTGATAGGTTCATTAATAGGTTCACTTATAGGTTCATTAATAGGTTCACTAATAGGTTCACTGATAGGTTCACTAATAGGTTCACTAATAGGTTCATTAATAGGTTCACTGATGGGTTCATTAATAGGTTCACTAATAGGTTCACTAATAGGTTCACTGATAGGTTCATTAATAGGTTCACTTATAGGTTCATTAATAGAATCACTAATAGGTTCACTGATAGGTTCACTAATGGGTTCACTGATAGGTTCACCTATAGGTTCACTAATAGGTTCATTAATAGGTTCACTGATGGGTTCATTATTAGGTTCACTATAGGGTTCACTAATAGGTTCACTAAAAGGTTCACTGATAGGTTCACTGATAGGTTCACTAATAGGTTCACTGATAGGTTCACTAATAGGTTCACTGATAGGTTCATTAATAGGTTCACTGATGGGTTCATTAATAGGTTCACTATAGGTTCACTAATAGGTTAACTAATAGGTTCATTAATAGGTTCATTGATGGGTTCATTAATAGGTTCACTATAGGTTCACTAATAGGTTAACTAATAGGTTCATTAATAGGTTCACTGATGGGTTCACTAATAGGTTCACTAATAGGTTCATTAATAGGTTTATTCATAGGTTAACTGATAGGTTCACTATAGGTTCACTGATAGGTTCACTAATAGGTTCACTAATAGGTTTATTAATAGGTTCATTAATAGGTTCACTGATGGGTTCATTAATAGGTTCACTAGAGGTTCACTAATAGGTTCACTGATAGGTTCATTAATAGGTTAACTGATAGGTTCATTAATAGGTTCACTTATAGGTTCATTAATAGGTTCACTTATAGGTTCCTTAATAGGTTTATTAATAGGTTAACTGATAGGTTCACTGATAGGTTCACTAATAGGTTCATTAATAGGTTCACTAATAGGTTCATTAATAGGTTCACTGATGGTGTCATTAATAGGTTAACTATAGGTTCAATAATAGGTTCACTAAAAGGTTCACTAATAGGTTCACTGATAGGTTCATTAATAGGTTAACTGATAGGTTCATTAATCGGTTCACTTATAGGTTCATTAATAGGTTCACTAATAGGTTCACTGATAGGTTCACTAATAGGTTCACTAATAGGTTCATTAATAGGTTCACTGATGGGTTCATTAATAGGTTCACTATAAGTTCACTAATAGGTTCACTGATAGGATCATTAATAGGTTAACTGATAGGTTCACTTATAGGTTCATTAATAGGTTTATTAATAGGTTCACTGATAGGTTCACTAATAGGTTCATTAATAGGTTCACTAATAGGTTCATTAATAGGTTCACTGATGGGTTCATTAATAGGTTCACTATAGGTTCAATAATAGGTTCACTAAAAGGTTCACTGATAGGTTCATTAATAGGTTAACTGATAGGTTCATTAATAGGTTCACTTATAGGTTCATTAATAGGTTCACTAATAGGTTCACTGATAGGTTCACTAATAGGTTCACTAATAGGTTCATTAATAGGTTCACTGATGGGTTCATTAATAGGTTCACTAATAGGTTCACTAATAGGTTCACTGATAGGTTCATTAATAGGTTCACTTATAGGTTCATTAATAGAATCACTAATAGGTTCACTGATAGGTTCACTAATGGGTTCACTGATAGGTTCACCTATAGGTTCACTAATAGGTTCATTAATAGGTTCACTGATGGGTTCATTATTAGGTTCACTATAGGGTTCACTAATAGGTTCACTAAAAGGTTCACTGATAGGTTCACTGATAGGTTCACTAATAGGTTCACTGATAGGTTCACTAATAGGTTCACTGATAGGTTCATTAATAGGTTCACTGATGGGTTCATTAATAGGTTCACTATAGGTTCACTAATAGGTTAACTAATAGGTTCATTAATAGGTTCATTAATAGGTTCATTGATGGGTTCATTAATAGGTTCACTATAGGTTCACTAATAGGTTAACTAATAGGTTCATTAATAGGTTCATTGATGGGTTCATTAATAGGTTCACTAATAGGTTCACTAAAAGGTTCACTAATAGGTTAACTGATAGTTCACTAATAGGTTCACTGATAGGTTCACTAATAGGTTCACTAATAGGTTCATTAATAGGTTCACTAAAAGGTTCACTATAGGTTCACTAATAGGTTCACTGATAGGTTCATTAATAGGTTCACTATAGGTTCACTAATAGGTTCACTAAAAGGTTCACTAATAGGTTAACTGATAGGTTCATTAATAGGTTCACTTATAGGTTCATTAATAGGTTCACTTATAGGTTCCTTAATAGGTTTATTAATAGGTTAACTGATAGGTTCACTGATAGGTTCACTAATAGGTTCATTAATAGGTTCACTAATAGGTTCATTAATAGGTTCACTGATGGGTTCATTAATAGGTTAACTATAGGTTCAATAATAGGTTCACTAAAAGGTTCACTAATAGGTTCACTGATAGGTTCATTAATAGGTTAACTGATAGGTTCATTAATAGGTTCACTTATAGGTTCATTAATAGGTTCACTAATAGGTTCACTGATAGGTTCACTAATAGGTTCACTAATAGGTTCATTAATAGGTTCACTGATGGGTTCATTAATAGGTTCACTATAAGTTCACTAATAGGTTCACTGATAGGATCATTAATAGGTTAACTGATAGGTTCATTAATAGGTTCACTTATAGGTTCATTAATAGGTTTATTAATAGGTTCACTGATAGGTTCACTAATAGGTTCATTAATAGGTTCACTAATAGGTTCATTAATAGGTTCACTGATGGGTTCATTAATAGGTTCACTATAGGTTCAATAATAGGTTCACTAAAAGGTTCACTAATAGGTTCACTGATAGGTTCATTAATAGGTTAACTGATAGGTTCATTAATAGGTTCACTTATAGGTTCATTAATAGGTTCACTAATAGGTTCACTGATAGGTTCACTAATAGGTTCACTAATAGGTTCATTAATAGGTTCACTGATGGGTTCATTAATAGGTTCACTATAGGTTCACTAATAGGTTCACTAAAAGGTTCACTAATAGGTTCACTGATAGGATCATTAATAGGTTAACTGATAGGTTCATTAATAGGTTCACTTATAGGTTCATTAATAGAATCACTAATAGGTTCACTGATAGGTTCACTAATGGGTTCACTGATAGGTTCACTTATAGGTTCACTAATAGGTTCATTAATAGGTTCACTGATGGGTTCATTATTAGGTTCACTATAGGGTTCACTAATAGGTTCACTAAAAGGTTCACTGATAGGTTCACTGATAGGTTCACTAATAGGTTCACTGATAGGTTCATTAATAGGTTCACTGATGGGTTCATTAATAGGTTCACTATAGGTTCACTAATAGGTTAACTAATAGGTTCATTAATAGGTTCATTGATGGGTTCATTAATAGGTTCACTATAGGTTCACTAATAGGTTAACTAATAGGTTCATTAATAGGTTAATTAATAGGTTCATTGATGGGTTCATTAATAGGTTCACTAATAGGTTCACTAAAAGGTTCACTAATAGGTTAACTGATAGTTCACTAATAGGTTCACTGATAGGTTCACTAATAGGTTCACTGATAGGTTCACTGATAGGTTCACTATAGGTTCACTGATAGGTTCATTAATAGGTTCACTAATAGGTTCATTAATAGGTTCACTAAAAGGTTCACTATAGGTTCACTAATAGGTTCACTGATAGGTTCATTAATAGGTTCACTATAGGTTCACCAATAGGTTCACTAAAAGGTTCACTAATAGGTTAACTGATAGTTCACTAATAGGTTCATTAATAGGTTCACTAATAGGTTCATTAATAGGTTCACTGATGGGTTCATTAATAGGTTCACTAATAGGTTCACTAAAAGGTTCACTAATAGGTTAACTGATAGTTCACTAATAGGTTCACTGATAGGTTCACTAATAGGTTCACTGATATGTTCATTAATAGGTTCACTAATAGGTTCATTAAAAGGTTCATTAATAGGTTCACTAATAGGTTCATTAATAGGTTCACTAAAAGGTTCATTAATAGGTTCACTAATAGGTTCATTAATAGGTTCACTTATAGGTTCACTGATAGGTTCATTAATAGGTTCACTAATAGGTTCATTAATAGGTTCACTGATGGGTTCATTAATAGGTTCACTATAGGTTCAATAATAGGTTCACTAAAAGGTTCACTGATAGGTTCATTAATAGGTTAACTGATAGGTTCATTAATAGGTTCACTTATAGGTTCATTAATAGGTTCACTAATAGGTTCACTGATAGGTTCACTAATAGGTTCACTAATAGGTTCATTAATAGGTTCACTGATGGGTTCATTAATAGGTTCACTAATAGGTTCACTAATAGGTTCACTGATAGGTTCATTAATAGGTTCACTTATAGGTTCATTAATAGAATCACTAATAGGTTCACTGATAGGTTCACTAATGGGTTCACTGATAGGTTCACTTATAGGTTCACTAATAGGTTCATTAATAGGTTCACTGATGGGTTCATTATTAGGTTCACTATAGGGTTCACTAATAGGTTCACTAAAAGGTTCACTGATAGGTTCACTGATAGGTTCACTAATAGGTTCACTGATAGGTTCACTAATAGGTTCACTGATAGGTTCATTAATAGGTTCACTGATGGGTTCATTAATAGGTTCACTATAGGTTCACTAATAGGTTAACTAATAGGTTCATTAATAGGTTCATTAATAGGTTCATTGATGGGTTCATTAATAGGTTCACTATAGGTTCACTAATAGGTTAACTAATAGGTTCATTAATAGGTTCATTGATGGGTTCATTAATAGGTTCACTAATAGGTTCACTAAAAGGTTCACTAATAGGTTAACTGATAGTTCACTAATAGGTTCACTGATAGGTTCACTAATAGGTTCACTAATAGGTTCATTAATAGGTTCACTAAAAGGTTCACTATAGGTTCACTAATAGGTTCACTGATAGGTTCATTAATAGGTTCACTATAGGTTCACTAATAGGTTCACTAAAAGGTTCACTAATAGGTTAACTGATAGGTTCATTAATAGGTTCTCTTATGGGTTCATTAATAGGTTCACTTATAGGTTCCTTAATAGGTTTATTAATAGGTTAACTGATAGGTTCACTGATAGGTTCACTAATAGGTTCATTAATAGGTTCACTAATAGGTTCATTAATAGGTTCACTGATGGGTTCATTAATAGGTTAACTATAGGTTCAATAATAGGTTCACTAAAAGGTTCACTAATAGGTTCACTGATAGGTTCATTAATAGGTTAACTGATAGGTTCATTAATAGGTTCACTTATAGGTTCATTAATAGGTTCACTAATAGGTTCACTGATAGGTTCACTAATAGGTTCACTAATAGGTTCATTAATAGGTTCACTGATGGGTTCATTAATAGGTTCACTATAAGTTCACTAATAGGTTCACTGATAGGATCATTAATAGGTTAACTGATAGGTTCATTAATAGGTTCACTTATAGGTTCATTAATAGGTTTATTAATAGGTTCACTGATAGGTTCACTAATAGGTTCATTAATAGGTTCACTAATAGGTTCATTAATAGGTTCACTGATGGGTTCATTAATAGGTTCACTATAGGTTCAATAATAGGTTCACTAAAAGGTTCACTAATAGGTTCACTGATAGGTTCATTAATAGGTTAACTGATAGGTTCATTAATAGGTTCACTTATAGGTTCATTAATAGGTTCACTAATAGGTTCACTGATAGGTTCACTAATAGGTTCACTAATAGGTTCATTAATAGGTTCACTGATGGGTTCATTAATAGGTTCACTATAGGTTCACTAATAGGTTCACTAAAAGGTTCACTAATAGGTTCACTGATAGGATCATTAATAGGTTAACTGATAGGTTCATTAATAGGTTCACTTATAGGTTCATTAATAGAATCACTAATAGGTTCACTGATAGGTTCACTAATGGGTTCACTGATAGGTTCACTTATAGGTTCACTAATAGGTTCATTAATAGGTTCACTGATGGGTTCATTATTAGGTTCACTATAGGGTTCACTAATAGGTTCACTAAAAGGTTAACTGATAGGTTCACTGATAGGTTCACTAATAGGTTCACTATAGGTTCATTAATAGGTTCACTGATGGGTTCATTAATAGGTTCACTATAGGTTCACTAATAGGTTAACTAATAGGTTCATTAATAGGTTCATTGATGGGTTCATTAATAGGTTCACTATAGGTTCACTAATAGGTTAACTAATAGGTTCATTAATAGGTTAATTAATAGGTTCATTGATGGGTTCATTAATAGGTTCACTAAAAGGTTCACTAATAGGTTAACTGATAGTTCACTAATAGGTTCACTGATAGGTTCACTAATAGGTTCACTGATAGGTTCACTGATAGGTTCACTATAGGTTCACTGATAGGTTCATTAATAGGTTCACTAATAGGTTCATTAATAGGTTCACTAAAAGGTTCACTATAGGTTCACTAATAGGTTCACTGATAGGTTCATTAATAGGTTCACTATAGGTTCACCAATAGGTTCACTAAAAGGTTCACTAATAGGTTAACTGATAGTTCACTAATAGGTTCATTAATAGGTTCACTAATAGGTTCATTAATAGGTTCACTGATGGGTTCATTAATAGGTTCACTAATAGGTTCACTAAAAGGTTCACTAATAGGTTAACTGATAGTTCACTAATAGGTTCACTGATAGGTTCACTAATAGGTTCACTGATATGTTCATTAATAGGTTCACTAATAGGTTCATTAAAAGGTTCATTAATAGGTTCACTAATAGGTTCATTAATAGGTTCACTAAAAGGTTCATTAATAGGTTCACTAATAGGTTCATTAATAGGTTCACTTATAGGTTCACTGATAGGTTCACTAATAGGTTCACTGATAGGTTCAGACAGCTGCTGTCAGAATGAATAGGACGCGCCTTAAATCTTATTTTAATCACATGAAAGACGAATCAGAGATAATATTACAATAATCTCTTACATGTCACAACCCCTTTAAAGACCAAATCAAATTCTAAAATGACCTCTCAGTTAGATTACACATATTTATTCAGATTAAAAACTATTTAAACTAAACTCAAACTGGATGAAATATATGCAAAGCTATTTTGCAATTAAATATTAATATGATAAACACAAAGTTTCATATTATATTATGTTTAACAAATATTATAGTATATTATTATTATTATTCATTACTTTTGCTCTTGCTCTTTTTAAATGAGTATTATGATCTATAGAGGAAAAGTTGTTGTCATTTGATTTACAAAAGAGAGTTAATTTTTTTTGATTTTTATATTTTTTTTGTATTTTCTATATATATTAGAATTTCTTTTGGTCTTTTGAGGGGTTGTGACATGTAAGAGATTATTGTAAAATTATCTCTGACTCATCTTCCATGTGATTAAAATGAAATCTAAGGCTCCTGATCATTTTCACAGCTGCTGTCTGAACTGTGGTCCGATCCAAGATGGCTGCCCTCTAGGCTCGTCAGCCAGCGTCCAATACGGCGTCTGCGTATATAATGTCTATGATCCAGTCCACTTTATAGTTCCTGCTCTATATATTAATCTGGGGATTTAGGGGTCATGGCGGACGTTCAGACACAGTCAAAGATTTAATCCACACAGAAAGTGTTTTGGTTTGCGTTTGCATTTCCTGCTTTGACTAGGCTGAAACAACACAAAGCTAAAGTGTTGTGAGGTCAACTGAGGAGCCTCCTGTTCTATTAGAGTCCTAATGGTCTGTTTGGTTTATCTTAGAACAAGGAGCGGGGCCACAACACACCATCTGAAGAAGACATGAGCTCCTGCATGATCAACCAGGTCTGCCTGCCATTAGCCTCACACCGTTAGCCGCTTTATGTGCAGAAGGAACGTCTCTATCCTGTTTTTGTTTCTCTGCCTCAGGCCCCCGGCTGCCCAGACCTCAGCATCCTGTCCTTCACCGGAGCGTTTCATGGAAGAACGCTGGGTATGTTGAACCTTTTTCCAACATAAACCTCTGGATATCTGGATCGGACATTAATTTGAGGGTTGATTAAGATGGTAACCTGTTTTGGCTTCAGGATAATTATGAAAACTGTGTTTTTTTCACTAAATATTAAAGTGTCATGATTCCAGACTGAATGTAACACAAGTGTCTGGAAACGGATCCCAGAGGATTTCTGACATTTGACCCGCATGATGGCTGATAATCAAGGCTTTAACTGTTTCTGTCTCGTTCCAGGTTGCTTGGCAACAACTCACTCCAAAGTGATCCATAAGTTGGATGTGCCGTCGTTTGATTGGCCGATAGCTCCGTTTCCCAGACTCAAGTATCCTCTGGAGGAGTTCAGCAGAGAAAACGCTCAGGAGGAGGCTCGCTGTCTGGAGGAGGTGGGCGTGTTTGTCAGGACGTCTTTCCTGTAATATACTGCATTGTGAGGACCGACTGCCCCTTTAGGGGCTTAGACCAAAACAGAGTTTCTGTTTAGATCAAGGTTAGACTATAAGAATGGATAGAAAATGAATGGATAAAGTTCCTGTTAGTGCAGCAGGAGTTAAACGCATGTTAAAGGAAAAGAGTGGTCAGCAAGGAATAATCAATGGATCATTATATATACCTAAATCTAATACATTTGCGGTGATTTACTAAATTTTGCGTTTGTCAGTGAAGAAATAAAAGTAATTTTCATCATGATCACTAAGTCCAGGACCACCTCCCTCCTGCCATCTTCCAGCAGTGACGTCACGGTGCGGTAAGCCTAGCGCCATTCTCCCCGCTTTACAAGCTAAATCAATGGGAACTACTAGACACATCTGCAATCAACAACAATTATTGAAGATTTCCAGAGGACTTCACCATTGAAATTCACCAGAGCTATAGTGAAACTGACAATGCCCACGTGCATGGCAGCTGGATGCTGGAATACATCGGGTAAAAGTGAAAAAAAAAGACTTATTTCACCTTTCTGATTCCTGATCCTCCACGGACGGGTTGGTCGTTGGATCGCCAACTTGAAGAGGGAGGATTTGCCATCGAACTTCTGGCCAGAGAAAAAACCCGTAATATGTAGCCAACATTTGGAAGAAGAATGTTTTCAAGATGACTTGGATAATAGCGCGTTGTGACAAACACCAGATACAGCACTGGGACTTGATCAACAGCCGATACCGCACCGTGACGTCACTAACCAGTAGGTGGCAGTAGTGTTCTTTGACAAACATGGATGCCTCCAGTAAAGCACATTCACATGGAAAATTACTCTGAATTAAAAACACTGATCATTTATTGAACAGGATGGAATCATTTCAGATTTAAAGAACTTTCAGAAGTTTGAATTCTGAATATGAGCGACTTTTCCTTTAAATCAGATCACTTCAACATGATCAAGTCTTTAAAGGCTGCAGCTATAGAAAACTATGAAACTTTTGATTTAATCTTTTTATTTACAAAGAGCAGAAAGCTCTAATAATATCAGTTTACTCCCATTAATGGAGAAATTTCAAGGCAAAGCAATTTAAAATAATGTTAAAATTGCTGAACAGCAACAAAAGGGAAGGTAAGGTGCATTCAGTGACATGAAGGTAACATAAATTATTATAAAGAGTAAAAATTTAAACAAGATGAGTGCATAAAAAATGAAAGGAAATAAAGGGAAACAAAGTTTAAATCGGTTAACTTCAAACATTAAAATATTAGTACAATTATCTTCCGTGATTTGAACAGGTAAATAAAAGAATATGCCAAAAGAATAAGATTATTTACGTTATAAAAACACCTGGTGTCTTATAACGAGTGAATACTATTCAATTATATTATTTTTAGAGACAGCAGACTTGTCTCTTTACCTTCTAAAATGAAGGGTTTATCTTAAAAACTCAAATAGCTTATTTTAGATTGAGTTTTTGAGGGATTTAATCTGGAGCTGCAGGGTTGGTTCCTCTAACGGAAGCTGTTGGGACTGCGGGTGCTTCTCCAGGTGGAGGACCTGATCGTGAAGTGGAGGCAGAAGGGGAAGCCGGTGGCAGGAATCATCATTGAACCCATTCAGGCTGAAGGGGGAGATAACCACGCCTCCCCAGACTTCTTCAGAAGCCTGCGCAGCATCGCGCGCAAGGTAAGATCTCCTGCTAATGAATGAGCGGGCCTTACAGGAGGATGCATCAACAGGAGCGGGGGGGCTGTTTTCTGTTTGGAAAAAGATCATCTTCATTAAGTAGGAGAATCGTAGATAAGCTGCATTAAAAAAATAACATTTCTTTCTTTCTTTTCTGAAAAAAAGCAGAAATTTTGTGTTTTTTTCGTTAGTTTTATTGAAGATTTAATATTAATTAGGACATCCCACTGCTGCCTCCCTCTGGTTTAGAGAGGAACTGCTTGTTCTGAAGGTGGTGAATTGTGCTGCGTTCAAACTGCTCGCACTTTGAGCATCAAAAAAGCTTCTGCTGCTTCATTTTTGATGCTTGTTCACATTAAGGTCAGACGTTTAGTAAAGATGGTCCAGATGCTTCTGCTGCTCCTGTGTTCGATGCCAGAGAGCAGCTTTGCTATATTAGCTGTGATCAGCGGGTAGAAAGTAGGTAGAATCTATGTTGAAGTGAGAAAGTCCTCCTGAAAACATGGTCTGTGCAGTCAGTTCATCCAGATTACCATCCTGCCTTCAAAGATTATTTCTCTGTGGGAGCCGCTCAGACCCCCACATACCGGCGGTAAGGCAAGTCAAGGCAAATTTATTTGTAGCACAATTCAGTACAAAGACAAATGCAAAGTGCTTTACATGATTAAAATATAAGGAAAAAAAACAGAATCAAAGCAAGTAGGAAAACATAAAAAAATAAAAATTGAAGAATGGCAGCCCACTGCTCCCCAAGGGGTTGGGTTAAATACAGAGAGGGAATTTAGTTGCTCAGTACTTGTGACAGTGGAATGACAATAAAAGCTGGCAAAAAAAGAAAAATGTAAAGCAGCTGCATCTACATGTTGGTGGAAGCATTATGTTGTGGGGATTCCTACCTTCGTGTTCATAGGTGTGTTGGTCTGTTTTCTTCCCAGCATGGCTGTGCTTTTCACGTGGATGAGATCCAGACCGGCGGCGGCTGCACAGGAAAGTTCTGGGCCCATGAGTACTGGGGGATGGACGACCCCGCTGACATCGTGTCCTTCAGTAAGAAGCTGCTGACCGGCGGGTACTACCAGAAGGAGGAGCTCCAGGCCGATAAGGTTGGTCCCGTTCTCTGTAACAGAGCAGAACGATGTTTTACTTCTGGTTATGATGCAAACATCAGCATGAAAGGATTCTGCAATAATGGGAATGGAAGGTTAAAGTCATGTAAGACGAAGCTCAGGCGTCATCAGATCATCGAAGCTCCAAGATGGAGCTGAAAGACTGGATTCAATTCAATTCAGTTTATTTTTATTCACATCATGTCGTCTCAAGCACTTTATAGTTCACCAGATCATCCAGTCAGATTGATTCAAAGTTTTCTATCTAAGGCGGGGGTCAGCAACCCGCATGCGGCTCTTTAACGTTCCGCTTGCTGCTCTCTGGAGCTTTTACAAAAATGTATGAAAATCTTTCTTTTTTTGTTGTTGTTGTTTGTTTCAATATGGTGTGCAAAAAATTAATTACGTTTTCCAATGCTGTTAAGATTCATATAATAAATAAATTTAAACAATAATTTGCGTCATAGCTATAGAGATCAGTGGTCATAACTGGAAACCAGCGCGGCCAGGCTATCAAAGCTGCAGATGTGTCTCGGATCAGGGATCCCAAAGGGAAAAAAGGAAGATAGCTGATGAGAAAAGAGGATTCAAAGAATGGAGCGAATCATTTGCTTTCATTATCAATGTGGAAGGATTGCCTGCATTTATGCTTTGCAATGAGAGGTTGTCCAAATATAAAAATGAAAAATTTGGAAAGGCATTTCCAGGGAAGGCTAGCCGACCACCAAGCTGGGAGGGAGAGAAGAAGTGTGATTGCAGAACTTCTGGATTAATTAGTGGATGGATGGATGGATGGATGGATGGATGGATGGATGGATGGATGGATGGATGGATGGATGGATGGATGGATGGATGGATGGATGGATGGATGGATTGTATCTCCAATACTGCTGCTAGTTTTGTTGCAAGGATGGAAAACCGTCCACAGATCCAACAGGTGGCGCTCTGATGCAGGGATGGGAACTTTCTTCCATTTTTTCCCCAAAATCCTAAAAATTTCAATTACACCAAGGAAGGATGGTGACGGAGGATGTGGGATTTCAGTTCCTGCTTGGTTCCTCATGACTCATCTCCTCCCAGCAGAAACATGTCGACCATAGAAAGATTCCTTTATCGTGTTTCTATCTTTTCATCATTTCTAAACCCGCGCAGTGAAGGGCGGTGAAGCAGCGCGCGATGGGAGCGTTCACTGCTCCTCCCTCACCTCATGCTGCTATGTGACATCTGCTTCAGGATAAACATTTAATCATGAATGCTTATATTATATATTAAGCCCACATAGTCCTTTTCTATAGCGGGATAATGCGCTTAGAGCCCATGTTACCATAAGAGGCATATATAAGACTTTTACATTTTTGCGGCTCCAGACATTTTTTTTGTTTGTTTTTTTTTTTTGGTCCAATATGACTCTTTGAGCAGTTTGGGTTGCCGACCCCTGATCTAAGGAAAACCAGCTGATTGCATCGACTCATTGACTCTTCAGCAATCCCTCACACTAAGCATGCTTGTAGCGACAGTGGAGAGGAAAAACTCCCTTTGAACAGGAAGAAACCTCCAGCAGAACCAGGCTCAGTGTGAGCGGCCATCTGCTGAGGCCCACTGGGGTTCAAGGAGTTCAAGCATTGTTGGTGTTGTTGCAGAAAATAAGGAAGAAAAGGCTTTAGGATTAGCAGACCTCGGATCAGCTGGTTCCTGCTTATCTCCCCCACAGTGTTCAAACCGAGGACTGGTTCTAATAACGTTCCCCTCCAGCTGAGCTGCTGTTCCAGAGCAAAGCTGCTCAGCAGTAGTTTGGTTTAAACATCCCAGATCTAAGAGAAAAGCTCCGGTTTGTTTCAGATGCTCAGATGAAGGCGTTTCTGTTGATCAGGTGGTTTTTGTTTTTTCAGCCGTACCGCATTTTCAACACCTGGATGGGGGACCCCTCAAAGAACCTGCTGCTGGTGGAAGTTCTCAACGTGATCCGCAGAGAGAATCTTCTGGAGGAAGTGGCGCGTTCTGGCAAAGCTTTGCTGAACGGCCTCTACGAGCTGCAGGTACGCAGAAAAACGCCTCGTTTCAGCTGCTGGGAGGAAAATTATCACATAAATCATTCAATTATGTCATTGATGCTTTATTTTAACTAATGTCCACCCACAGTTTCTCTGGGTAAAACCACACATTTCAAACAAAAAAAGAGAAAACAAGATTTAAAAAAAGAACGTCGGAGAAGTGAAGTAATTCATAGTTTTTCAATATTCGCACAAATGCAAATCTGAAAAGTTTGGAATTTATTTGTGTCTCAGACTGATTCTAAATGGAACAGTGAAGAAGCTGTAGTACGTTTAGACTCAAAATACATTTCCAAGGGAAAACTCAGTGATGGAAGCATCAGGTTGATCCTTTGCTTTCCTGAAATGATCCTCAGAGACTCTCAGTAGTGATGTTATGAGATGAGCCGAGGCTTTGAGGCGTGTATCGAGGCTTGCTTCATTTGGGGGAGGAGCCAAAATAGATGAAGTCTGAAGCCTCAGTACTGTGAAACCACGTGACCGCCTCGGGAAGGGGTCCTGCTTGCCTGCAACGTCGATGGGCATTTTAACAGCATCATTATTCAGTGAAGATGCAACAGTTTATAGGAGAGCTGCTGTCAGTTGGATAGAGTTTGGATAGATTCTAAGAGTAGATTGGTTGGAAAAACAACCAATCTAGTTGGTTAAAACTATTTTGTTAGATTAAACAATGTAATAATCGAAATCTGAGCGAGCCACTGGATAGAGTTGTAACATTAGTATTAACTGGTATTTCTTTCTAATAAGCAGTTATCATTGCTAGTGGCGTCAGCTATGAGGTTGTTGGTTCGAGACCCACCTACCCACATACTTAACAAGTATTTTGGCTAATGCAACTAATTATATTGGTTTGCTCATGTACAAATATAGATAGGTAGAAACACTGGCAAATTTGATTGGTTAGATTAGCCAAAAGATTGGTTTAAAGGAATAGTACACCCAAAACATGATTAGCCTTCATTTTCTACTCACCCCCATGCTGAACAACACTCTGCGCACTTTCATCTGGTTTGGTCTGCCGCGGTTTCCGTAGCGTCGTCAACACGCAGGCGCGCGCTTTCAGGAAATCCTATACACTACTGTCTATGCTCTAAAAACATTCTAAATGACTTCGTTTCAAGTAAATTATGGACGCTACCCATTCAGGAAACTTGGAATACATTGGACGAGCAGTATGGAGGAATATTGACACGTTTTTTGTGGACTTTTATGGACCTTTCTGCCTCGGGCGCCATAGACCTCCATTATTTGAATGTCAGCAGACAGCAAGAAGCCTCCCAGATCTCCAGATGCATTTGAGATATCAAAAAAGTACTCCAGAGTGTTGTTCAGCATGGGGGTGAGTAGAAAATGAAGGCTAATCATGTTTTGGGTGTACTATTCCTTTAACACATATCTTCCAACCCGATTAAAACCAATAAAATGTGTATAAAAATTTATATATTTAAATAAAAATTAGTATCACTTTTTATTGTGCTCATCATTCCAATTTATACAAACACTTTCACTGAAAAAAAAAACAGAGAAAAACATTTGCAAAATATGAGATCATATTATTAACTGTAGTTCTGCTGTCCACCAGTAGGTGGTGACATTTTCCCATGAAGCTTCCTGAACTGATGGGATCCTGAAGCAATTTGTTCATCACTAACTCTGAGGCTGCGCTGCAGGATTGATGCTGAGCTGTTAGAGACTCTTCCTCCAACACTTGGAGCTGCCGTCGTACTGAAAGCTGCTTCTTTTTTAATTAAGTTTCAGGCCACGCGCTTCAAAATATGGATTATTACTCTAGTGTCAGCACATCGCTGCTGTATGTCACTGTGAAGTAAAACAAATAAAAAAACAAGTGAAAACTTTTTTCAAATCATTTTCATGGTGACACAGAGGAATCTTCCTGCTGCTGCTGTTGTCATCTGAATGTGTGTGATGATGCGCTGCCTTCCTGCGTCCCTCAGGCTCAGTACCCCGGCCTGCTGAGCCGAGCTCGAGGACAGGGGACGTTCTGCGCCATCGACGTGAAGGACTCGGCCACCCGAGACAGACTGCTGCTACAGGCCAGAGACAAAGGTAACAGGTCCACAGAGGTGTTGGGACAGTGTTGGGTTTCTAATAACACATCCTGCAGGTTTGACTCCACCTATGAGAGATTAAAGAGCGGCCCTGTATGGTTCCTGCTATCCTTGGTTAGAAAATGTGAATTCTTAGTGAATTCAAAGCATGAAGAGAAGCAGAAAAACAAACAGAAACTCCAGAACAAACAGCTTCACACCGGCTGCTCCTCAGGGTCCCTGCAGAGTCGGAAAATGTTTGACAAAGTATCAGCTACCGTATTTACCGGACTATAAGCCCCTACATTTTTCCCACGCTTTGAACCATGAGGCTTATAAGAAGGTGCAGCTTTTCTGTGGATTTTTCCTAACAATTCAAAGTTGGAAAGGAAAGAATAAGGATCTAATTTTTATTTAGCACAAGAACATACTAGCATACAAGCTGTTTATTTCTCCTGATATGGACTGGGTGATGTGTTAGGAACAACAGGATGCCACATCATTTGATGGAAATGAAAATGATCAACCTACAGAGGGATGAATTCAAAGACACCCCAAAAAAATTACAGTGAAAAATGATGCAGCAGGCTATAGTCCATTTAGCTGAAGTTTCATTGCAGCAACTCAAAATGGTATTCAGTAATTTGTATGGCCCCCACGTGCGTGTCTGCATCCCTGACAAGGTCAGGGCACGCTCCTAATGAGACGGCGGATGGCGTCCTGGGGTATCTCCTCTCAGATCTGGACCAGGGCATCACTGAGCTCCTGGACAGGCTGAGGTGCAGCCTGGCGGCGTCGGATGGATGGAAACATAATGTCCCAGAGGTGTTCTATTGGATTTAGGTCAGGCGAGCGTGGGGGCCAATCAATGGTATCAATTCCTTCATCCTCCAGAAACTGCCTGCATACTCTCGCCAGGAGGAACCCAGGACCCACTGCACCAGCATAGGGTCTGACAATGGGTGCAAGGATTTCATCCTGATACCTAATGGCAGTCAGGGCGCCGTTGACTAGCCTGTAGAGGTTAGGAAGGGATTAACTCAAATGCTGCTTTGTTTACATTTGATCACCATGTTTACCTTTCATCACTGCTGCTCTTTAAGAAATGTTTAAGTCTAAGATAGAAGAAAAATCTCTGATGAATCCTGATTAATCGCTTACTGAAATCAGTTATTTAGTAATTCAATTCAGTTTATTTCTATAGCTCCAATTCACATCATGTCATCTCAGGTCACTTTCCAGTTCACTAGATCATCCAGTCAGATTGATTCAAAGTTTTCTATCTAAGGAAAACCAGCTGATTGCATCGACTCATTGACTCTTCAGCAATCCCTCACACTAAGCATGCTGGTAGTGACAGTGGAGAGGAAAAACTCTCACTTTATTATTGCTGATGCGCTGAAACAGTATCCAACTCAGACTTAGCCCATCCAGAACTCAAGTGGCAAAGTTTCCGCTTGACTTGGTTTAAACTCTTAAAATCGTTTGGTGAGATAAACCTTTGCAGCCGTAGATTAGGAATGTACGTCCCTGTTGGTTTCACAGTGAGAGGATGATCCACAGTAACCTCTCTGTCTTTGGCAGGCGTCCTTCTGGGAGGATGCGGCGACGTGTCCATCCGTTTCCGTCCTGCGCTCGTCTTTAAGGAGTACCACGTCCACATCTTCCTCAACATCTTCAACGACATCCTGGCTCTGAACAAATAGATCTCCGTCCCAGCGGAACCTGACTGGATCTACATAGGACCCAATAAAATGGAGGGAGGGAATCAGGCCGTCACCAGAAGCACAATGGACACATCTCCTTCAAACACATTTAAAACTGGAACTTTCTTTGGACTCTAGAGCTTCTTTAACGTCTTTTTTCTCACTACGTCGTCCAGACTTTGTGCCAGAGGAGCCATTTTCAAGCAGAAGATGCTTCGTAGAACTACATCGACTGATCTTGTTCAGCTGGATGGATGTTGTTCCCCAGAGTCGGACCAGACTGTCAGTCAACACCAGCAGCACATGGACACGTTCTCGCTAAAGAAGCAGATCTACATGAACTAGATCCGCCCTGTTTCTATTCGCCCACTTTGGCCTCATCAGGCTTTTAATGATAGTTTCACATTCTTAACTCTGCTCTACTGTTATGACTTCAGTCCCGTTAATTAAAAGCGATGTTTTCTGGCCCCTGAGGGCCCCATATCTCGCCCTGAGGGGCCGGATTTTGCCCGCCAATCTTGATCGTCCTGTTTTTGGTTCTGTGACGGTTCTGACTCTGGTCTTAAACCAGGAAACAGAGCAGAGTCTGTTCTTCTTGGTCTGCATGGGTCCGATAGATGAAGGTAAAATGTTGGATCCAGTAACGTTTTCCCAGCTGTAGATGCATGATAATCCCCCCCCCCCCCCCCCCCCCCCCCCCCCCCCCCACCCCATCCCAAGCATGAAGGAATCCTAACAGATGAAAACTGATCCATCCAATGATCCCCGCCTCACGGAAGACGGCGAAATCCGATCCTGAATGCAAACGGTAAAAACCAAACTCCACGCCCGCGTTTCGTTTACTGATGCCAACGGTCCGTTGGTCTTACTGGGAAGGACCTTGTTCATCCCAGGAAACCTGAATCCTAACCACACTGTGACAGAGTCAAAGATCAAATGTCCTCAAACAGTTTGTGCCCTCTGGGCTGAGAGCCAATCAGCTGCAGGGAACCTTCAGCGAAAGCATCCGAAAGGATTATTCTTTAACGCCTGTTTGAATTTAGGTCTCCTATATAATGTTTCCATAACACTAATCCCATAATCCAGATTAAAACTCTAAATGCATTAAAACGGAAACATTTATGAGTGCTAACCTGCCTTGTGTAAAGATTTTGTATGTTTTTTTGTTTCGATCACGATGGTTTAATTGTTTAAGTTCACTTGGAGGAGGATCTGGGGTGAAATGTATGTGTCCACAGAAATGCATGCTGGGTAAATCTGAACCATGATAAAGGCAGGAGAAGGAGCGACATCTGTAGCTGAGATGATGGAGGATCGCTCCACTTTGAAAGTCTGCTTCAGGGGTTTTTTCTCCGATGACCACTAGAGGCATCCTGGAGCGAATCCCCATGGAAATGTCTGCTCTGAAGAGACGCCTTCACAGCCGGCTCCGTCCAACATGGCCTCAGTATGAATGAAAACAAATGTTTGGGTCAGTCGGACAGGTTTCCTGTAGAAGATCAGACGATCCGTCCCTGAATGTTTAAAGGAGCTCTGTGAGGAATGTGAGCAGCTTCATTTAAGGCGTAACTACAATGAATCTTATCTCCCGCTGTAAATGAAAAGGATATATAGTTATAAACATTAGTATGTTTGATAACATTGAGTCTTAATGTAGCATCTTATATCCACAGGGTCGGTTTGGGTCACATGTTTACTGGCTGATGTGCAGCATGGTGGTGGTGACCACAGCAGCTTTAAACTGTCTCTGTAATAACCTCCTCTTAAACCAGAAAACTGACTACATGTGATCTGAAGTATTGATATATTATTTTTGATGTTTCTAATAACTGTGGTCTATAAACCCTTCTGTCCATGTACTGTGACAAATAAAGACAGTTTTAATAAACACTTGTGTTCTTGTGGATGATTGTTTTTGGACCTCAGAAAAATAAATATTTAAAGGAGCTATGTCAAGTTCTAGAACTATAAAATAAAAAAACAAACATGTTAATGTTAGAGTAAAGCAAGAGTTCTTCATGGTTTGCTCGGTCCTTTTTGAGCCTGATCATCATTTTTGCACCAAGTGCAGCTGGCAGACTGAGCAGCATAGATCAAAATCAAACCTCTAGATAAAAAAAAAAAAAAACATTACAATGTCACCATCATCCCAATTTATTAAAACATAAGCTTTTAAAGGGAAAGTCCGCTCATATTCAGAATTCAAACTTCTGAAAGTAATTTAAATATGAAATTATTAAATACTGTTTGATAAATGTTTTTAATTCAGAGTAATTTTCATGTGAATGTGCTTTACTGGAGGCATCCATTGCTCTGTTCAAAAACCTAGGACGCGTCCTTAGAAGACCGGATTCGAAGGCCGATTACGTCATTGCGCGGCGCCGAGGTCTGGTCGGATTCCAAGAGTCCTCGTTATGCGGCCTTAAAATGCGTCCTTCTTTTTTGCCCGATTTGAAGGACGGGTCTGATGTATCCTCGGTATTCTTGGATATCCCAGGATTCATTGCGAGACCAAGCAAGCCGTGATCAGAGTAAAGGTTACTTGGCGCCGAACAGTGGTGAAAATTGGAAGTTCAGTTTAATATAATACAAGTCATTTAATAGTTCCGTCTGAGATTAATGAAAAATAGTTGTTTTAATGGTTATTGAGTCAGATATGTGGCGGTAATGTTTTGTTTATCTAAAGGTTTTAATCTGTTACTGTGTAAATGGGTTTGGCTGGAATTAAAGGACAGATTCTAATATATCTGCAGGGTGGGGACTATAAATCTGATAGGATTTTTATCTTTTTATTGCTGTTTTGCTCAATAGGCTTAACTAAGATTTTTTTGTTGTTTAATATTGGAGATTTTGCAGATATATTTTTTATAAATACATTGTTTAGATTTACTTATATCTTTCTACCCCTTTTATAGAATAGAAAATCTCTTTATTGTCCCACAATGGGCAAATTTACAGCAGCAGAAAGATTATTGAAAATGGTCACACAAATGTGGACCTTAGAAAAATGTATAAGAATAACATAACAGGGAAGAGTTAAAATATAAACAATACAATTCTGTAAAGTGTTTTGTAACAATATAAAACTGGGGAATAAATAACCAATATGCAGCTATGGACATTTTTACAGTAATGGATATTGGAAAATAGCAGCAACATCAGAGATGTGCAGAATGACAGCAGCAGGTTATTTAACTGACTAAGGTTTCTATCATTACATTTGACTTTATTTGTTCCTGCTCCCACTGGTTGGAACCTTTATTCCACTCTGGATTCTTGTGAGTGTAGTCTTTGTTCACTTCACAATAAAAAAGAAATAAATAAACAGTTTCTGTAAAAAAAAACTTCTGTATTCATTCTTTTCCTGCTTTGTGTGTCAATGTTCACGGTTGCTAAGCAACAGAGCATATGGCGGTAAAACCCACCGAAGGGTAGACCTGTTCGAATTTACAGCCAAAACTCTTCCGGTCTCCTTATTTTCAATGACTTTGAAGGATCCAGTCTAGGTAGACCGCGTCCTTGGAGGACACGTCCTAGGTTTTCGAATAGAGCCCATGTTTGTCAAAGAACACTACTGCCACCTACTGGTTAGTGACGTCACGGTGCGGTATCGGCTGCTGATCAAGTCCCAGTGCTGTATCTGGTGTTTGTCACAACGCGCTATTATCCAAGTCATCTTGAAAACATTCTTCTTCCAAATGTTGGCTACATATTACGGGTTTTTTCTCTGGCCAGAAGTTCGATGGCAAATCCTCCCTCTTCAAGTTGGCGATCCAACGACCAACCCGTCCGTGGAGGATCAGGAATCAGAAAGGTGGAATAACTATTTTTTTCTCTTTTACCCGATGTATTCCAGCATCCAGCTGCCATGCACGTGGGCATTTTCAGTTTCACTATAGCTCTGGTGAATTTCAATGGTGAAGTCCTCTGGAAATCTTCAATAATTGTTGTTGATTGCAGATGTGTCTAGTAGTTCCCATTGATTTAGCTTGTAAAGCGGGGAGAATGGCGCTAGGCTTACCGCACCGTGACGTCACTGCTGGAAGATGGCAGGGGTGAGGTGTTTCTATGTTTGGGAAAAAATGGCCGCTCCCTAGACTCAGTGATCAGTAAATTCATTAAATCACCACGGACGTATTAGCTTTAGGTATAAATAATGATGCTTTGGTTATTCCTTGCAGACTTCACTTTTTCTTTAAACATATAATAACTTGATCCAGGTGTGTTGAACCAAAGTTGCAGAATATCGGCCCTCAGGAGCTGGAACCGTGTCCACCCCTGCTCTAAGTGAACTTTTACAACGTAAAATATTGTCTGAGAGAGAAGAATCTTTGGAGCTGAAAGATACGGAGAAAATATTGATGCTGATGTCAGCTTTGGTCGCGGTTAGAGGACGCAGAGGCGACTTCTTTCAGTTACAATTAATGATCTCAGTTAACAAAGGCAGGAATACAAAATCCAACTTAATGTAACACAAACCAGAACCATGGAGACATCAGGGGAAGGATGAGGAGAGACAAGGAACCAGCACTGAGGAACTGCACAAGGAGAGTATTTAAGGCTGACTGAACAAAGGGAGGACTAACGAGCTGATAGGGAGCAGGTGAGAGCAGAGGCCTGTAGGAAGAAAGCTAAGGAAAAGGAAACCAACACAAGAGGGCAACAGAGAAAAGCCTTGGAACTCAAATACATCCAAAAACACAACAAAGTAGGAATTAAACCAATAAACTAGAAAACAGAAACATGAATAAACATGAAACTGAAAACTCAAAGAAAAGCTAACAAAACCAAGACCATAACAGATGTGGTTCCAGATAACCAGGAATCAGACTCCTTTAACATCAATAAATCACTCTAAACTGAATCGGATTTCAGTACAGTTGAAATGAGCTGATATAATTTTTTGTTAGTGTGAACAATTTTACCACGTCATATAAAACTGGACGATCGCATTATCTACCTGCTGCAGCGGGCGCTCACCCACCTGCAGACCGCCTGAAGCGCAGTGAGAATCATGTTCTTTGACTTCTCCAGCACTTTCTACACCATCAGACCAGAGCTGCTGAGGGGGAGGCTGGAGAACAGACATCTTACTGTCCGGACCATCAGCTAACTTACTGAATGCCCTCAGCTCGCACGGCTGCCAGTCAAAGGTGGTAATCTGCAGTAACGGGGCCCCTCAGGGCCACATTCTGCCTCCGTTCATCCTCACCCTTCACCTCCAGGCGGCGCTCTGGACTCAGTGGAGGAACTGAGAGGAGGATGCTGTCCAAGCTTCCATCCATCACCTTCCACCCTCTGGACCAGACCTCCACCTTTAGTGGAAGACTTTTACACCCTGTCTGTATAAAGGAGTGCTATAAGTTGTGTTCAATGTATAAGGTGCAATTACTATTTGATAGCCTGTTTCTCTATATAAATTGATAGTGTGGAGAGTTGCGGCCTAGTGGTGAGGGCACAGAGCTTGGAATCCTGAGGTTCTGAGTTCAAGCCCCACTCCCACAGACTGCCACTCTGGGTCCCTGAGCAAGACCCTTAACCCCACCCTGCTCCCCGGGCGTCACACAGTGGCAGCCCACTGCTGCCCAAAGGGATGGCTTATATGCAGAGGGTGAATTTCTCCAATCTGAGATCATTAAAGTTCAATTATTATTATTGTTGTTGTTATTATTATTATATCTGACACACAGTTTGCAGAACACCCTGTGCAATAACCCTGTCTAATGATCCTACTATTAATAAAAAGCTGCCATAAGTGGACGCACTGTGTTTACTGTATATTTCCCATGCATCTTTTCTTCCTTTGGCTCCTTCTTCTCCTTTGACTATTTCAGCTGCTTTAAGGAGTAAATTTCTCCGCTGTGGGATCAATAAATTAAACTGCATAATTTTTATCTCACAGATACATTCAGATGATTACATGTTGTGTTTGTATAAATAGCTTGAAATAATAATAAAGCTTAATCAGTGATCGGGGGGTGGGGGGGTTGGGGTCTGTGGGAGGGGCAGGAAGGATGCACTGGAGGAGAGGACTCTGACGTGACAACGTGGCGATATCTGACCAATCAGAATCGTTCCTAAAACTCTCTCCCGCTATGTGCTCCTTTCTATTGGCTAGGAGTTTCCCCCAAAGCGCCGGTGATTGGTTATCTATTGGACAACTCCCGCCCCCTCTGTATCCTTATTTAAAGACCCCGAAATGCCAACGCGGACCTCTGGTCTGAGATCTGCTGTGGGAGGAGAAGCTGAAGCTGCAAAGCTGGTGAGTTTTCACACTTTCTGTCTGGTAGATACTACAGAAACTACTACAGAAGGTACTATAGAAACTACTACAGAAGGTACTACAGAAACTACTACAGCAGATACTATAGAAACTACTACAGAAGGTACTACAGAAACTACTACAGAAGGTACTATAGAAACTACTACAGAAGGTACTATAGAAACTACTACAGCAGATACTATAGAAACTACTACAGAAGGTACTACAGAAACTACTACAGAAGGTACTATAGAAACTACTACAGAAGGTACTACAGAAACTACTACAGCAGATACTATAGAAACTACTACAGAAGGTACTATAGAAACTACTACAGAAGGTACTATAGAAACTACTACAGAAGGTACTATAGAAACTACTACAGAATGTACTATAGAAACTACTACAGAAGGTACTATAGAAACTACTACAGAAGGTACTACAGAAGATACTACAGCAGACACTACAGAAGGTACTACAGCAGGTACTACAGAAGGTACTACAGAAACTACTACAGCAGATACTACAGCAGGTACTACAGAAGGTACTACAGAAACTACTACAGAAGGTACTACAGAAACTACTACAGCAGATACTACAGAAGGTACTACAGAAACTACTACAGCAGATACTACAGAAGGTACTACAGAAACTACTACAGAAGGTACTACAGAAACTACTACAGCACATACTACAGAAGGTACTACAGAAACTACTTCAGAAGGTACTACAGAAACTACTACAGCAGATACTACAGAAGCTACTACAGAAACTACTACAGAAGGTACTACAGAAACTACTACAGAAACTACTACAGCAGATACTACAGAAGCTACTACAGAAACTACTACAGCAGATACTACAGAAGCTACTACAGAAACTACTACAGAAGGTACTACAGAAACTACTACAGAAACTACTACAGCAGATACTACAGAAGGTACTACAGAAACTACTACAGAAGGTACTATAGAAACTACTACAGAAGGTACTACAGCAGATACTACAGAAGGTACTACATAAACTACTACAGAAGGTACTACAGCAGACACTACAGAAGGTACTACAGCAGGTACTACAGAAGGTACTACAGAAACTACTACAGCAGATACTACAGCAGGTACTACAGAAGGTACTACAGAAACTACTACAGAAGGTACTACAGAAACTACTACAGCAGATACTACAGAAGGTATTACAGAAACTACTACAGCAGATACTACAGAAGGTACTACAGAAACTACTACAGAAGGTACTACAGAAACTACTACAGAAGGTACTACAGAAACTACTACAGAAGGTACTACAGAAACTACTACAGCACATACTACAGAAGGTACTACAGAAACTACTACAGCAGATACTACAGAAGCTACTACAGAAACTACTACAGAAGGTACTACAGAAACTACTACAGAAACTAATACAGCAGATACTACAGAAGGTACTACAGAAACTACTTCAGAAGGTACTACAGAAACTACTACAGAAGGTACTACAGAAACTACTACAGAAACTAATACAGCACATACTACAGAAGGTACTACAGAAACTACTTCAGAAGGTACTACAGAAACTACTACAGCAGATACTACAGAAGCTACTACAGAAACTACTACAGAAGGTACTACAGAAACTACTACAGACACTAATACAGCAGATACTACAGAAGGTACTACAGAAACTACTACAGAAGGTACTACAGAAACTACTACAGCAGATACTACAGCAGATACTACAGAAACTACTACTGCAGATACTACAGCAGATACTACAGAAACTACTACAGCAGATACTACAGAAACTACTACAGCAGATACTACAGAAACTACTACTGCAGATACTACAGAAACTACTACAGAAGGTACTACAGAAACTACTACAGCAGATACTACAGAAACTACTACTGCAGATACTACAGCAGATACTAGAGAAACTACTACAGCAGGTACTACAGAATATACTACAGCAGGTACTGCAGCAGATACCAGAGAAACTACTACAGCAGGTACTACAGAAACTACTACAGCAGATACTACAGCAAATACTACAGAAGGTACTACAGCAGGTACTACAGAAGGTACTACAGCAGGTACTACAGAAGGTACTACAACAGGTACTACAGAAGATACTACAGAAGGTACTACAGAAGCTACAAATTGCTCAAACTTATCGGTTCTATACCTCAGGAAAATATGTCAACGTTTTTTTTTCTGCTAGCTGACCAGCAGTGCACAGCTACAGGTGGAGGAGGGGCGGAGGTGCATTTCTCTGTGCCTCAGCTTCATTATGTAGGGAGTTCATTTTCTTTTGTTTCCGTATAATACATCTGTTACCTGCTGTAAAAAGTCAGATTGATTCAAAGTTTTCTATCTAAGGAAAACCAGCTGATTGAATCGACTCATTGACTCTTCAGCAATCCCTCACACTAAGCATGCTTGTCGCGACAGTGGAGAGGAAAAACTCCCTTTGAACAGGAAGCAACCTCCAGCTCCCATGTCAGAGGATGAAGAGAGCACATCCAGTCAGTCAGAATCAGAGAAACAGGACTACACTGAAAAACAGGCTGATCTCCTTGCCGCAAGAAGGTTCTGGGTTCGATTCCCGGCCTGGTGTCTTTCTGCATTGACCCTTGACCCATGACCCTTCTCCCTCTTCCTATCACCTCTTTCTTCCCCCAAGTGAGGAGTTGTTCAGCTTGATGGCTTTAGGAGCAAAGGAGCTCAGCAGTGTGTTGTTCCTGCAAGCAGCAATCTCCCACTGATCAGACTCCTCTGAGCGGTGCAGAGGGTGGCTGGCATCTTTCATAATGTCCAGCAGTTTAAGTGTCCTTTATGCTGATGATGTGGTGATGTTTTCCCAGCTGTCTCTCTCCTGTCCTTTTAACGCCGCTCTGATTTCCTGCCTCCACCTCAGTCCCAGAAAACCAGCCATGTTGCTGCTGACTTCGCTGGCGTCCGTCTACTTCCTGGCTGCGGCTGCCTTTGCCGTCCCCGCTCAGGAGAAGCGCGTCCACCACCAGGCCGATCTGAGTGACCACGTCCACGACGACAGCCAGAATTACCAGTACGACCACGAGGCCTTCCTGGGCAAAGAGGATGCCAAGACCTTTGACCAGCTGACCCCTGAGGAGAGCAAAGAGAGGCTGGGGTAGGTTCCTAGATGGACAAACCACCTTTAATAGGATGGAGTTACAGTCCGTCCATTAAAGTCTCTCTTTGGTTTCATTTTAGACGCAATCAGTGACAAAACAAAGCTAATGAAGAAAATAACTGATGGTTAAAACTGTAAAAACGACCTCACATCCTCTTATAGGACTCTAGATGCAAGTTATCAATTTAATTAAAGTGGATCAATCTTATCGATTGACTGATAACAATCAGAGTTTTCTGTATCAAGAGGATCTTTCCACAACATGAACAATATTTGTTTTTATAATGCAGAGGTTAAAAAAAGCACATCATTATATTTTAATTATTGATTGTTCCAGCTTTATTAAATACTGACTGAATAAACAGAAATGTTTCTCTCTAAACTGCTAATATTTCCTGTATAAAATGCACTAACTCTGCAGCATTCACTGTGTCTACTGTGCTAATATTTAGTGTAGAGCCCTGGAAATACGTTAACGTGATAAATTTAATTATTAGATATAATTATGTTATTGATTTAGTATTTAGTTAGAACAATTCATTTGGTTTATGACTAAATATGTGCTCAAACTATTTTATTTTTTTGTTGATCCATAGTTTCTGTCATGATAATAATCCCTTAAGAAGAACAGAATGCATGATGGGAGTTAAAAGTTCATAACCTGTATATATTTACAGAAAGAGAGAAAACCATATAAGCTGGATTTTGTTTAATAAAGTTGCACAAAAGCAAAAATCTTTTTAGATCTTTTTCAGGGTGCAACATTAGCACGTCTTTTTCATAACGCTACAGATGTCCTCTGCTTTTCTGACATCACATCCTCTACTTCTGAGCACAAAGGAGATGTTCCGCTGCTCCACCGTGCAGCACAGATAAATGGGCCCATTTATGGGATTATTTAGGAGTTTATCAGTGTTTATGTTTACAGACAGAACCAAATGAAACAGAACTGAACTCTGGATCATTCATGGTTCTTCTCTGCCTTCAATCTGGCTTTACTTCTATAGAAATACCAGTGAGGCTCTGCTTAATGAACAGCTGCACCCTCTAGTGGACGAAACATCATATTACAACACTAAAAGAAAAAAGACTTGATCAAATACATTTTAATCTAATCAACAATCAATCATTAGTAAATAATTTGTTTTGATGTTAAATAAAACACTTTGACTGGACTGTATATTTTTCAACAGGAAACATTAAGACATAAATCCACAAATGGATTTACTCTGAACATAAAGAAGGAGAGAAAATGGAGGCAAACCTTTATACTTTAAACTCTTAAAGATGGCCGATACCTTGAAACTCTGTTGGTATTTTACCTTCTGTCATATTTCTAGGTGAACGCGCCACTGAGCAGATATATTTTCTATCTGCCAGTTTTGTCCTCTTAACAAATTTATCAACAGAAAATAATTAACCTCACGAAAAAGGACAATTTCTTTAATGTTGGAAAGGATCGTATATAAGGTTTGCACATTAGACCAAATACACCATTCTATGATTAATATATTATTATAATATCTTATAATAATGTTATGCTAATTTTATTACTGTTGAGGAATCAAATATTAAAGACAGACTTTTATCTTTAATTACTTTTAACTATGAAACAGATATGAAAGATTAAAATTTCCTGCAGTGGATGATCATCTGTTGGAAGAAAAAAAAGAAAAGGGAAACAGAAGATGAAGAGTTAATTTCACAGCTGAATCGTTTTGCTGCTTAAAGGAATCTAGGTTTCTCTGAGCAGCAGGTCGATGCCTTTTTTTTTGGCTCCCATTTGATAAATTAAAATTATTTGCTTAAAAACGATTATATCTGTTAAGAAACCTGAAACCTCTTTATTTTATTAGTGTTTAAGAAAAAATCTTAAGGAATGTTACATCGGGTCTTAAATAAAAGCCAAAATCATAGGTTTTTCTCTAGTTATTTTAGATCTACCTAAATTTTCTAGGATGCTTTTTCTTTGAAGGGTTCTGACTGCGGCTAAAGGTTTTACTGGAACATCGGACCGGTCTCAGATTTATCAGACTGCTTCCTTTTTAAACCTAATGAAAGGAATAATTTAACCTTTGCTTTATGTGCTATTTATTAATTATATGCAAATATTTCATGGGGAAGAAATAAGTTATAAACCCTTTATTTGTTATTATATCCATATTGAAAACCATTTAAAGCATTTTGGGCGAAATGTCCGGTCTTTCTGAAAACTGGCACTGATTAAATTTTTCTTTGCCAGACTGCCTAACCTAGAGCTAGTTTACCGTTTTCTAACATAGGAAGAGTTTTAGAGCAGTGCTTCTAGGTTCTTTTTCTATATCTGCTTCTGTCTCTCTTACTCCAGTCGGCCTCAGCAGATAGCCGCTCGCTCTAAGCTGGTTCTGATAAAGGTTACTTCCTGTTCAATGGTAGTTTTCCTCTCCACTGTCGCTTCATGCATTATCATTGTGAGGGATTGCTGTAGAGTCAGCGACAGAATGCAAGCAAACGTCTGCTTATTTACCAGCTCATCCAGTAAAATCAACGAGTCGATGCAAACAGCTGCTTTTCCTTGGACTGGTTGAATCGTTTTGTTTGAACTGACGCTGGAACTTCCATAAATCCGTCTATAAATGACGTGTTTTTGATTGCAGCTTCATCTGTTGGCTATATTATTTCAGGTCAGTTGAGAGTCAGAAGGATTTCTGTTAGAATTTTGGACAGGATGTAGAAGTTAAAAGATTTAATTTCCTGTCATTATGTTGGAGAAATCTTAGTGAAATAGTCTCTGTTTAGCCTGTTAATGTGAACTTTGTGCTTTTTGCTCTGCAGAAAGATCGTTGACCGCATCGACACCAACAAGGACGGCTTCGTTGACCACTCTGAGCTGCGCAAGTGGATCAAACACCGGCAGAATAGATACATCGAGGAGAACGTCAACAAGCACTGGAAGGACTACGACGCTAACGGGGATGATAAGATCGCCTGGGAGGAGTATAAGAACACCACCTATGGCTACTATCTGGGTAAAGCTCTTGGTTTTTGCACCATTTGAAATGTTTATTTGCCGTCACTACTTGGTGATGGCAAACCGGAAGGACGGGTGGAGCCGCACAGGTTGCTCAGAATCCCTTTTCTTTTCAGGCGACGACTTCAATGACATTGAAGACAAGGAAACGTATAAATCCATGCTGGCCCGCGACGAAAGGCGCTTCAAGGCGGCCGACAAGGACGGCGACGGCATCGCCACGCGCGAGGAGTTCACCGCCTTCCTTCACCCCGAGGAGTTCAGCTACATGAAAGACGTGGTGGTGCAGGTAGAGCCATGCTGGACGCAGATCTAGGAGCTCAAATGCATCTGCTGATTGTTTACAAATCAAACTAAGACTAGAAGCAGAACATCTGCAGACCATAACAGGCTGGTGGGCACGGTAACAATGATGTGGAGGACTTTGGCAGAATACGTAGCGCTGAAACCTTTTTCTCAGCTTTCTCTGGGCTTAGATCTGAAGCGATGGAAGCAGAAACATGGCAGGCAGCAGGATGTGAGGAGTTTCTGCTAAGATGTATTAATAATCAGGGAACTGACAGCTGGCATTTCCCCAACAGGAGACTGTGGAGGACATCGATAAGAACGGCGACAGGAAGATCAACCTGGCCGAATACATCGGTAAGTGGGCCCCAGTCTGACCAGTCTGATGTCTGCGCTGGAACCAGTCAACATTCATGACTTTCTCCCTCGCCAGGTGACATGTACACACCAGAGGACGGAGAGGCGGAGCCTGACTGGGTTCAGACTGAGAAGAAACACTTTGCAGATTTCAGAGACATCAACAAGGTGAGAGCGGCTCTGACTGCGTCCGTCATGACGTACGTGTTCCATCAGAAGTTATAAAACCTTTACACCACAACCACTGATCCCTAATTATTCACTTGATTGCTGATTGCCCGTTGGTAGTATGGGGTTGAAGTGAAACCACCGGCCGCCATATTGGTACTCCCTAGTTAGATTGGTCGCATTGTAAAGAGTATGTGCGCTACAGCATCAAACAACGATGATGTTCTCATTTTCTGGGGGGGCTTAAGACTTTTAAAATAAAGATAAATTCACAGCATCAGTAGATTACTACGGTGGCCCAGAGGTGTCACCACCAATACAAAAGCCGCAACACAAATACAAGAGCCGCAACACAAATACAAGAGCCGCGACACAAATACAAGAGCCGCAACACAAATAAAAGAGCCGCAACACAAATACAAAAGCGCCGCAACACAAATACAAAAGCCACAACAGAAATAGCCGCAACGGAAATCTGAAACTACAACGAAAGTGACGCAACAGTTGGTTGTTATTCATGACAGTAGAAGAAGAAGAAGCTGAAGCTAAAGCTAAAGCTAAAGTACATGTCTGTTAATGCTGTAGTATTTTCCTATTTGAAAACTTAAATGATGCCAAATACTTTTATACAGTGTCTGTGTATCAGCCTTTAAAAAAGTTTGAGTTGTTTTTTTCCATCAATAAAAAATGCAATATATTGCAGCACATATGCTGATGAAGATTCTCAGTCATCCAGGTCATAGTCATTCCATAAAAGTTCAAAAAAATCCACTGGACTCCAGGAAGCTTTCTCAATTCAATTGAGAAAGCTTCCTGGAGGGGTGGCGAAACGTTCATTTCAGCACATAACTTTTTTTTCTTTTGAGAAATACAACAAAAACCACAAAAACGACAGCATCATCCACTTAATAAAGAATTACTACACTGACATTTCACAGTGAAGTACTTTCTATTTCCTTTACTTTCTATTTTCTAACGTTAGACCCAATATCAATGGCTAATTTAGTCAATAACTTTGAGTCTGTCCCAGATAGCCAGACTAATATTACGCTACATGCTATACTATAGGATCCATTGGCTATAGATGGATTTATTGGTTAGTTCATCCACTGTCTGGGAAATGACCTGTGGAACGTCTTCCTGCAGCCAGGAAACTTCTGGTTTCTGCAGCCAAATGCTGCACAGGGAGGCCTTTCTATGGCGCGTCTCCATGGGAGTGGGGAGTACCAATATGGCGGCCTGTGGCTTCACTTTTTGGGACCAATCAGCATCCAGTGAATAGAGATCAGACGAACAGACTGATGCAGCATCAAAGCAGCAGCCGCCCCGATCCGTCCGTAGACCTTCTGCTCATTTCTCCCCTCAGTCTTGAACAGGACCTAAGGTTCCTTCACTCCTCCACTTTAGGCGGGAGCTCCTCCAATCAAAGCTCTAACAGGAAGGCAGAGTGAGGGAGCAGCGAGGTGGGGCTTCTTAACGCACCAATGAAGCAGCTGAATGTGCGTTTAAGAAACAAACTGCTGGTCGATGTTTGGAGACATGTTTTTATCGTTCTTTACAGAAATGTTTGCAGAATCTCGTTTCTCATCCGTTTAGGAAAAAATGTCTGTAGAATCATATTTCTAGCAATTCTTATCAAAGCAGCTCACAATCAGTCAGATCAGTTTATGAACATGTGATGGACTTTGACTAGGACGTTCCAGTCCATCTGTTGTATCTTTGACTGGATCTTCTGGAAGGTTCTCCTGCTGGAAGGAGAACCTCCAGCCTGGTCTCAGGTCCTCTTCCATCTATGATGGTTTTTTTGGGTTATTTGCTCCATCCGTCTTCCATCACCTTTAACCAGCCTCCATCTCTCAGCCGAACAGCCTCCCCACAGCATGACGCTGCCACCACCTTCTGTGCTGTGATATTTGTGGAAGTAAAGGCTAGATGGTTCATTTAAAGCTTACGTAACGTTTCCTTCACACCCTGTACTCTTACGTTTCATGCAGGACGGCTACCTGGATGCTGATGAAGTGGCCCAGTGGGTTCTACCAGGAGAGGTCGACCACGCGGACAACGAGGCCAAGCACCTGATCCATGAGACCGACACAGACAAGGTAGACGTGCTAACAGTTCTCAAACCCTGATGGTGGCCATGTCGGGATCAACCAGACGTAGTTCCTTTACCTTCTAAGGGTTTATTCGTCTCTTTCGCTGTGTTTACATGGTGTTGGGTTAGTATCAGTATTTGACAGGAAGTTGTATCTAGAAACTACAGGTGCTGGTCATAAAATTAGAATATCATGAAAAAGTAGATTGATTTCAGTAATTCCATTTAAAAAGTGAAACTTGTATATTATATTCATACATTACATACAAACTCATATATTTCAGATGTTTATTTTGTTTAATTTTGATGATTACAAATGACAACAAATGAAAATCTCAAATTCATCATATCAGAAAATTAGAATATCGTGAAAAGGTTCAAAATTGATGGCCCCTGGTGCCACACTCTAATCAGCTAATTAACTCAAACCACCTGCAAAAGCCTTTAAATGGTCTTTCAGTCTAGTTCTATAGGCTACACAATCATGGGGAAGACTGCTGACTTGACAGTTGTCCAAAAGACGACCATCGACACCTTGCACAAGGAGGGCAAGACACAAAAGGTCATCGCTAAAGAGGCTGGCTGTTCACAGAGCTCAGTGTCCAAGCACATTAATAGAGAGGCGAAGGGAAGGAAAAGATGTGGTCGAAAAAAGTGTACAAGCAAGAGAGATAACCGCACCCTGGAGAGGATTGTGAAACAAAACCCATTCAAAAATGTGGGGGAGATTCACAAAGAGTGGACTGCAGCTGGAGTGAGTGCTTCAAGAACCACCACACACAGACGTATGAAAGACATGGGTTTCTGCTGTCGCATTCCTTGTGTCAAGCCACTCTTGAACCACAGACAGCGTCAGAAGCGTCTTGCCTGGGCTAAAGAGAAACAGGACTGGACTGCTGGTGAGTGGTCCAAAGTCATGTTCTCTGATGAAAGTAAATTTTGCATTTCCTTTGGAAATCAAGGTCCCAGAGTCTGGAGGAAAAGAAGAGAGGCACTTCATCCACGTTGCTTGAAGTCCAGTGTAAAGTTTCCACAGTCAGTGATGGTTTGGGGTGCCATGTCATCTGCTGGTGTTGGTCCATTGTGTTTTCTGAGGTCCAGGGTCAACGCAGCCACATACCAGGAAGTTTTAGAGCACTTCATGCTTCCTGCAGCTGACCAACTTTTTGGAGATGCAGATTTCATTTTCCAACAGGACTTGGCACCTGCACACAGTGCCAAAGCTACCAGTACCTGGTTGAAGGACCATGGTATCCCTGTTCTTAATTGGCCAGCAAACTCTCCTGACCTTAACCCCATAGAAAATCTATGGGGTATTGTGAAGAAGAAGATGCAATACACCAGACCCAACAATTCAGAAGAGCTAAAAGCCACTATTAGAGCAACCTGGGCTATCATAACACCTGAGCAGTGCCACAGACTGATCGACTCCATGCCACGCCGCATTGCTGCAGTAATACAGGCCAAAGGAGGCCCAACTAAATACTGAGTGCTGTACATGCTCATACTTTTCATGTTCATACTTTTCAGTTGGCCAACATTTCTATAAATCCTTTGTTTTTATTGGTCTTCAGTAATATTCTAATTTTCTGATATGATGAATTTGAGATTTTCATTTGTTGTCATTTGTAATCATCAAAATTAAACAAAATAAACATCTGAAATATATGAGTTTGTATGTAATGTATGAATATAATATACAAGTTTCACTTTTTAAATGGAATTACTGAAATCAATCTACTTTTTCATGATATTCTAATTTTATGACCAGCACCTGTAGATCTAGAATCAAGGTCAAACTTTGACTTTGTTCACCTGAAGTTACTCAAATCTGATTAATATTATTTTATTTTTTTGCCCATAAGTGACCTGGATCTGATCTTTTCTGAACAACACAGATCTGATTTGTTCCAATGCGACCCAGGTCACTTGGCTCTCTGGTCCTGAATCCAAACGAATCTGATCTTTTCAAATGTGACCTGTTTCTGGACGACCCGGTCACATTCATCCAAACGGAATGCCATTGATGCTCAACAAAGGTCACTATTCTGGGTCTCGCTACGCAGAAGCGGGAAGAAAAACAAAGAAAGAAATGAAAGATTGCTAGATGCGCTCCAGCACTCCCATCTATGTTCACCTCTATAAACACAGTATAGAACTTTACTCACCTCACATTGGAGAAATTAACTCTCTGCATTTAACCCCTCCCCTTGGGGAGCAGTGGGCTGCCATTGTGCGCTGCCTGTGGAGCAGTGTGGGGTGTTTATGTTCTTGCTCAGGGACCCAGAGTGGCAGTCTGTGGGAGTGGGGTTGGAACTCAGAGCCTCAGGATTTCAAGCTCTATGCCTGGGGCGCCACTCTCCTATAAAACTTCCCTGACCGGGAATCAAACCCGGTTCCGCAGGGGTGAAAGGTCATGTCCCTGACCCAATCATGCTTCCTTGTTCCTACGGAGCACGCTTGTTTGTGATGTCATTGCGTCCTCTGCTGCGCAGGCGGGACTCTTAAGTTGCATGAATGCAGTTCAGACAGGAGATTGCATACAAGTCAAATATATTTGGAAATGTGAACGCACCACGCAGAAGAATAGGTTTGAATCGAGCATTAAGGCCTGGAGAGTGAACGTAGCCTCAGAGTTTACTCTTAATGATGTAGCTCTACGGTTGAAGTCATTGAACATGTGTTCTGATATCAGAGAACTTAAGACTTAGGAATTGATCTGGACTCTTTCACCAACGACTCGTTACTTCAATCAGATTTGCCTTAAAAATATGTGATATCAAAGCAACACTGCGTAAATTTAGCCCCTGGTCCTAGACCTGCACCATCCCTAAGTGTTCTGGTATCAGACCAGTTTGGACCAGCAGAATGGGGCGTCCTTTAGTTCCTGGTAAAGATCAGGAACCATTGACGCTCTGGAGGAAATCCTCCATCAGTCTGATCAGCTGAGGGTCGGAGCTCAGTCTGACGTAAAGCGGCGCTTTGGGTCACATGACCCATTCAGAGACGGATCAGAGCCTCATCTTCACAACAAACCAGCAAAATATTGTAACGACAGGTTTGTTATTGTGAGATTTAACAGAATCTGTAAAGAAATCCAGTTGTTTGTTTTTTTGTGGATCATTTTCTCCTTGGATTTCTCGCCTGGATTGTTTCTGTTGATATTTACACCTAAAAAAAACTGCTTAAGTTTTTGTTTTTCAGGTGGTTTAAAAGTCTGACTCCTTTTTATTCCAAACAATAATTTCCAAAACTGCTAAAGATCTAGAAGTTATCACAGATTAAATTACATATTTAGTCAAACAACATGTTTTAAATCTAGTTTGCACTTTTCTGGACCTGGGACTTTCATGTGTTTACACTGGACTTGTCCCGCCCCCCTCCCTGCGGAAAGGAACAGTACTTAATTGTTGTTAAATTGGTTTAATTTCATCACTAATTATCTCCTTTCTGTCTTTCTCTCGCTGTTTGTCATCCCTCCTTTCTCCCGTTTCTCCCAATCATCTGTTGATCAACCAACGACGGATGAAATGCTATAATCAAACAGGATGAGAAAATCACCAAGAAGGAGATTCTGGCCAATTGGAACATGTTTGTTGGAAGTCAAGCCACCAATTATGGTGAAGATTTAACAAAGAAACACGAGGAACTTTGATGTGCCGTCCCTGGGAGGTTCGGGGGGGGTTAGGGATAGGCTGGGATTCACTCAAGTATCTAAAGCAAAGTTTTGGCTCTTATTTACGCTGCAGTCATGGTTTAATCATGTCTCCTCGTTCTTATGTGGAAACACACAACCAGAGATGCACCGAGGAATCGGCAGACATTCAGATTGATTTAAATCCTACCTTTTTCTGTGATCATTGAAAGCACCATTTTAATTCCATTCAATTCAGTTTATTTATAAAGTTTTCTATCTAAGGAAAACCAGTTGATTGCATGGAATCATTGACTCTTCAGCAATCCCTCACACTAAGCATGCTTGTAGCGACAGTGGAGAGGAAAAACTCCCTTTGAACAGGAAGAAACCTCCAGCAGAACCAGGCTCAGTGTGAGCGGCCATCTGCTGAGGCCCACTGGGGTTCAAGGAGACAGAAGCAGACATAGAAAAAGAAGCATGGCATCAATTTAACCCGTAATGCCATATTTGATACATGTCTTTTTGAGACTTTAAAATAAAAACCTGATGAACCAAATCAATGACATGTAGCGTATCACAAATGAGAAGACGTGTTTGTGAAATCCACTAAAAGGATTTGAGTAAATCATGATTTAGCTGTTAAAAATTAAATTTGCTTGTTGACAACAAGCAGAAATCAGGGTTCTGGTCGGTGCATCTCTGATTGTAGCTCCACAAAACCATGTTTCTGGACGCAACCACATACTGTGTATGTAAGGACGGGTAATACTAATGAACATGCACTCCTGTGTCGGTATTGTTTTTGGGTTCATAGATCATCACACAATGAGGCTTTTTAAGGTCCAAACTGGATCCAGGTTGATTCTGATGTGGGGGCTTCAGTCCAAAAGAGAGGAAATATTCTTGTGTATTTGGTCTAAGAACATAGTCAAATGGTCTGGGATGGACTTTGTTACTGACTCATTATGGTTTAATAAATAAAGTCTCACTTTTTTGTACAAATCTTTGTTTGTGGTGTTATGTGCTGCAGTATTGTTGAATTTTAATTTTTGGTTTGGTAAAGGTAAGGCAACTCAAACATCTCCTTCATGGAAGATGTTAAAGGGAGAAACAGACAAAAATTATTAAAGAGAAAGTAGGCAACATCAAAACAATAATCTGGAACAGATTTTTGGAGCATCCAAACAGAAGGCTTCTGGTTCTTCATGTAGGGAGTTGAGTTTGGATCCAGATAATCTCTACACAAACTCGATGGGTTGTTCATTCCATCAATGCCAGTTATTTCACATTTAGTTCAATTTTCAATTCAGTTTATTTCTATAGCATCAATTCACATGTCATCTCAAGGCACATTACAATTCAACCAGATCATCCAATCAGATTGATTAAAAGTTTTCTATCCAAAGAAAACCAACTGATTGCGTCGACTCATTGACTCTTCAGCAATCCCTCACACTAAGCATGCTTGTAGCAACAGTGGAGAGGAAAAACTCCCTTTTTAACGGGAAGAAACTTCCATTAGAAACAGGACTACACTGAAAAACAGGCCGATCTCCAGCATCTAGAAACAAAGATGTTGATGGCAGCAGCACAGCTGATATTTCTCTCCAGGATGGAGTCACAGCCAAACATGAACAGACCAGATGAAGCTACTATGAGAAAAAGCAGAGAGAGCAGAACGTTAGAGATTGAACTAACAGATTCTGCAGAGTGGGAGAATAGAGATAGAATGAAGCAGAAAGATGAAAAAGGGGTCCCTATGTCCTCCAGCAGTCTAAGCCTATAGCAGCATAACTATAGAGATAGCTCAGGATAACCTGAGCCACTCTAACTAGAAGCTTTATCAAAAAGGAAAGTTTTAAGCCTAGCCTTAAAAGTAGACAGGGTGTCTGCCTCACGGACTAAAACTGGTAGTTGGTTCCACAGGAGAGGAGCCTGATAACTAAAAGATCTGCCTCCCATTCTCCTTTTAGAAATTCTAGGAACCACTAGTAAACCTGCAGATTGAGAGCGAAGTGCTCTGTTAGGAACATAAGGAACAATCAGATCTCTGATATCAGATGGAGCTTGGCCATTTAAGGCTTTATATGTGAGAAGGAGGATTTTAAATTCTATTCTGGATTTAACAGGAAGCCAATGAATAGACACCTAATTACAGTTTGTGAACTTCTGTTTTGTCTGCAGAAAGTTAAGAGTCATCCAGGTTTTTATCTCTTCAGACATGCCTTTAATCTATATAATGGGTTATCTTCATCTGGATTACAGACAGATATAGCTGGGTATCATCAGCATCATTCTACAAATTGGGAGCATATTTAACGTAAAGAGAATTAGTCCTAGCACTGATTTTAGTGATCAGTGCTAGGACTAGTGCTAGTCGGCATAACCAGGTGTCATTACCAGTGAATAACAATCTTTCTGCATTAAACCTTATTCTTAGCCGGCAGTTTCAGGTAGGATTTGTACTTTGGAGATGCTAGTTTATTAACAGTTATGGTTTTTAAGGGGAAAATAGAGATATGATCTCTCTTTTTAATTTTCATCAGAACTCTGGCTGCAGCATTTTTGATCAGCTGAAGGCTTTTAACTACAGTTTGTGGACTTCCTGATAGTAAAGAATTACAATAGTCCAGCCTTGAAGTAACAAGTTCAGACCTGGGAACCTTTGGGAACCATCTGTTTCTGTTCAACTGCTCCCTGACCGTGTCTGTAAATGTTGACTGTAATAATTATAACAAACTTGTAATACACCCACATTTTTAAATGTTATGTTTGCAGTAAAAGCACACATCTTGATTGTGCAACAACTGAGATGTAAAAACCACAAAAAATTGCATTATTGTCATGTTTATAAATTCAGGGGTTAAAAGTCTCAGTGGTTGCCTGAGTTAAAGCAGTGACCGAATTTGAATCTGCGAATAGAAATAAACTCAATTGAAATTGTTGGTTACTCTGGTTTCCCACACTCAAAACTATAACTGTTAGCTAAACTAGCATCTCTAAAGTACAATTCCTACCTGACACCTGGTTATGCACTAGTCCTAGCACTGATCACTAAAATCAGTGCTAGGACTAATTCTCCTTACTTTAAATATGCTCCCAATTTGTAGAATGATGCTGTTGATACCCAGCTATATCTGTCTGTAATCCAGATGAAGCTAAACCATTATATAGATTACAGGCATGTCTGAAGACATAAAAACCTGGATGACTCTTAACTTCCTGCTGACAAAACAGAAGTCCACAAACTGTAATTAGGTGTCTATTCATTGGCTTCCTGTTAAATCCAGAATAGAATTTAAAATCCTCCATCCTATGTGTATAGATATGACACATGCCAATTAGTAGATTTTATCTCCTCTGGGTTTTTCACCAGAGGCATCTCGATTTCAATGATGTGGATTCGCAACGTGTGCCCAAACAGGCACCAATGGAAGCTACATGCACTATCTACTAGTCTGCCTATATTTTGAGCAACAGTTTAACAGAAACGGCCTTCTCAAGAGGTTTTGAGATGTCGGTGGAGAAAAAGTTTGAGAAAAAGTTGTCTCTTAATTTTGTGAGAAATTTTTTCCCCCCAAATTTTGTTAATTTTTTGATTGTGACATTCATATAAAGTCAACGTTCATATCAGATTCAGTCTTCAGTGTTAATTTACCACTCCGGGCCACTGTTGCAAATCTGCAACATCCCAGAATTCATTGCATGTAAAGGTCTCTCTAAAAAAAAGTCTGAATTGTATATTACTACCCCATATGATCATTTTCTCCAAATATCAGATTTTCCCTGCAACTATAACTTAATTTAAGCCTGAGAGGCTTAAAACTTTTCTTTTTGATAAAGCTTCTAGTTAGAGTGGCTCAGGTTATCCTGAGCTATCTCTATAGTTATGCTGCTATAGGCTTAGACTGCTGGAGGACATAGGGATCCCTTTTTCATCATTCTGCTTCATTCTATCTCTATTCTGCACTTAAGTAGTAGTTGTTAATTCAGTTCTTAACTTTGGACTTTAATTTTCTTTGACCTTGTGATTTTTTCAGTTAAGTAAAATATTTAAAGACTAACCTTATTAAAACCGTATACTGTAAACAAATGATCAGTCTTTTCCTGGTTTGTGCTCTGCTCATCAGGACGGCCGTCTGACGCTGGAGGAAGTGCTCGACAAAGCAGATTACATCAAGATGAGCACAATCACTGACTATGGGGGCATGAGGGTGGAGGAGCATGACGAGCTGTGAAATCGTTTTGGAAAATATGTCTCAGCTTAAATGCATGTGCGCATCATAAACAGACCGCCAGCAATATGACATGAACTAATAAGAAGAGTGCAGAGTTAAACTGTCGAGACACTAAACTTTGACTATGGCTTCTACATCCATTTTTAAAGCCCAGAAATATAAAAAAAAAACTCTTAGAAGGAAAAAAATAATTTTATTTGATGGTTTATTCATTGCTCCATTCAGGACACAGCATCCATTCAAAAGGGGGGAAAAATACACAAATTAAACATCACATGGCAGCCGACAGGTTCCAACAAGCTATAAAAATATCTCACTCAGGCTTTGACATTTGCTTTACAAATTAGATGGACTTTAAATCACTGTGGGTACAATGGACAGATCTCCATCCTCTCAGGCCTGCATCACGGGCCGAGCTTCTTTGGCGCTGAGGGCCACTCCAGAACCCGCAAAGCCAGTTCCACCCTATGAGGATACAGAACATCATGACTCTCACATGCATCCATGTCAGGGAAATATTACCTAAAGTTGCTAAATGCAGTTTCCTCATCAACTACGTTACTGATTAGTTTAGAAATAAACTTTGATTGTTGTTGTGGTTTTTTTATATCAGGCAGCCACATACCCTCTGCAGCAGGATGATGTCTTTGTCTGTTAGTTTGTCTCCAGACACCGGATCAATCATGTCCTTCCTGATCAGCCTCTCCACGCACTCCTGAGTCACCACAGTACCTCTGAAACAAACGAGACACTCAGGCGCGTCGCTCACGCTGCGGCATGTCACAGTAAGGAGAGGAGGAGGGTGGAAAGGAGGGTACTCACGAGGGTCTCAGGACAGCGCAGGGGACACTGTTACCCAGGGCGTCTCTGGTCACCGCGCACACATACCTCTCCTGGAAAAAAAGGCATAAAACTAGAGATAGGAAGACCAATAGATACAGTCACCTTCAGCTGAATGGATGCTGCTGCAGAATAAAGACATTTCATGTAAATTCATTTAAAAATGCTGTATTTACGCCAAAAGGAAATGAAATGTTGAAGGAACTTCTTTTCTAATGAGTTGTTGAGTTTATTGGCAGGAAGGATCTTCTGTAACAGTCCGACTTTCACCAGGACTGAAGACACTCTGCTGGATTTACCAGTTTACTAAAGAAGATTATTACTGATGAAAAATGCTTCTGTGTGAATTATTTTAAGATCTACATTTTGGCTTTAGAGCTAGTGATTTCCTACTAATTTAATGTAGAAAACTGATCCCTAAAGTTGGGGATTAACAAGTATGCCGTCTTAAAATCCTGTAAAAACAAATGAAACTAATAAAATTGATAATGATGAGGCATATTTTTATCTAAAAGCATCACTTAGTAAAACCAGCATCAACAATTAATTTATTTGGTTTGATCCATTTCTATGATACCCATTAGATCAGGGGTCGGTGTGACAAAGTGGGTGAGAACACCATTTGTCTCAGTTTATACATTTGCTATTTTGTTGTTTGCTTGATTTAACCATCTTGGTTTAAATTGAGTTATAACCCAATTTAAACCAAGATGTTTTACTAAATGATCTGTAAAAATGCAAACATAAACAAACCCGGGATAGTATATGAATGCAAACTACAGAATAAAAAGATGGTTAAATCAAGCAAACAACAAAATAACAAATGTATAAACTGAGACAAATGGTGAAGAGCCATATTGGACCAAAAAATAAAAAATAAATCTGTCTGGAGCCGCAAAAATGTAAAAGGCTTATATAAGCCTC